CGCAGTTTATCCTTGCTGGATTATTAGTTCGTGAGTGTCTCTACGGCCTGTCGGACGTGTTTTTTTTCTTCAATTCCAATTTTTATCAATATCGCACACAAATTAATTTTAATTTTTCTTTTGAGGAAAGTGTTTCTTTTTCGTGTCATATAATTTTAGCAAATTGCTCAAATTTTCAAAAGTACGGGGTCTTTTTTGTAATTTTTTAAATGCGAGCGCAATTAAGTATGTATATAAAAAACAAAACTAATTTATTTCATAGTTTTTAAAATTTGTTTTTCATTCTAATTTCTAATTTACTTTCTACTTTTCTCATCCTCTTTTTAAGTGATTATTTTCTAACCAATAAATTTATTACTGGAATTTTTTAAATCATTATGTAAATATAATACAAAAATTAACTAAATTACTAAAAAGCTTTTATAAATTAATAGATAAAAACATAATACATAATTTCAATAAGTTATAATATAAAATAAAATGATACAAAAAATATTCGAATCAATATAAGTATCTCGCCAGCGGATGTTTTTAAAGATAAACTTGAAACAATCATCAAATCTAAAAATAATCATCTACGTGAAATTATTGACTTTTTAATTCCGGTTTTCCGTATAAGTTAATAAAATCAAAGCGTTTTTATGTAATCACAAAAACGCTTACGTATATTTATAAAGTTATATTATTTAAAAATTATACAATATTGGTACAAGTAATGTAGTATCATTGAAACTCCACTTAGAAATTTGTTGTAAAAATAAATAAAAACACGGATGTTCAATTATACTTTTTAAATAGTCAATAATAATACTCTGAGAAAAGATATAATTTCTGCATTTTTGCAGTAGTTTCATTTTTTTTAATTATTTTCATTTACTTTATTGTAATACAATTTACAAAATAAATTTCGGACACTTTTTTATTACATTTATTGGATTTTTCTAATTTAAATCTTAAAATAGTGAAAAAAAACATGACTTTTTAGGAGAAAAAATAAAAAATAGAAAAATGATTTTATTTAGGAATGTATAAAAGCTGGATTTTACACGAATGTGTAAAAATTCTCAGAACGCAAAAGTTCGGGTTAAAAAGTGAAGTTTGATTTTTATTATACACTAAAAAAGAAAAGATAATTTAGAAAGAAATACTGAAAATGGATTCAGTGAGAGATTTAAAAAGACTTCTCTATGAGAGAACAGAAGCATTACGAAAAAGAGACGAAGCTGTTGAGAGTTTGGAAAAGGCCCTTGAGGAGCGTGACGCAACAATTCGTTACCTTCAAAATGAAATTGACAAATTTCGTCAAATTGTGGACTTTAATATGGTCACTGGACCATTGGGACCTTATCGAAGACTGAAACGTCAAGCAATTTCGGCAGAGCCTTTGAAACACGATTCTAAACCCATTCCAAAGTTCAGCAAACCACAAAGGTACTTAATATTCTATTACAGAGAGAGAGAGAGAGAGAGAGAGAGAGAGAGAGAGAGAGAGAGAGAGAGAGAGAGAGAGAGATGATATATATTTTATTTCATTCTTAAATTACTGACTTTAAACACAAGTTACATACATATAATTATGTTAGATTGCTTCCTATTAAAAATATATAAAATTAAAAATATAATAATTATATAACAATATTGCTGATGGTGACATGCTCATCATTGTGGTAGCCAGATTATGTCAGTATAAAGAAAAGTTCCTTTCAGTTATAAAAAAGTTGTGTCCAGGTGAACAAAGCTTATTTTATTGAAAATTCTTAATTAATTAGGTAATTCAATAATGAAGATAAACTTTACAAATGGTTTGACGAATCGAGAAATATATTTTCATGTAGGTACTACTTTTTATTCTTTAATCGTAGATGCTATTATTAAACTCGATATATACGGGTGACATTCGAATGGCTAATGAGATGTGGAACTTTCAAATCACGTTTTTGTCAATAATGGATTCATTGGCTCTGAGCTTCACTAATATGTATTTTATATTATACCATGCAATACACTTTTGTTTTAAACGCAAAGTGATCTCTCTGATTATTATCGAACAACAATCTGAATAATTTAACAATGATAATAATTTAAAAGCGATTAGCATTTTCCATGCATATAGTAGAGCTCGCAAACGAGAAATTAATTTTACGCTGGCGATTTCATACATTGTTTTTTCAACATTATGCGTTTAATTAAATAATTTATTATTTTTCGTCACTTTTATTATATAAATATAGCATAAACATGGTTTTATTTAGATTAAAATAAGTTTTTTATTTGCTCTTCGATAAACTTATCTCACTTTTGCTAAAGATTAAAAAAAAAATGATGCTTGCAAAAGTAGAAGATAGAAACTGTGTCACTTCGAGTTAAGAATAATGACCCAGATGTTTGTAATACAGAATAAAAGCTTCAAAAGCAATAAAAAAAATGTATTCCAAACGTTACATTATATCTTTAATTATTTTTAATGCTTTACAAATAACTTTTAAAGAAATGATTAAAGGGAAGGGAATTTATCATTCGGTAGCAATATATATATCAAATGTGAAAGAAGTTAGCAATAAAGATGCTTAAGAAGAGATTGCTAACTTGTTCCACATTTTAAAGAAATGTTTTGATGAAAATTATTATTGATGAGATTATATTTTGTCTTGGATAATTTGACATAGACTGCCATTATTTTTTGCTTGCAAAGCAATAGGGGTGGTTGCATGTTTGAAGATTACCTGCTTCATCTCTCGTATATTTCACTTTTTCGTCATTCAATTGAGCTCGCGAATAAATCAAGATTCTTCTATATAGGTACTTGATCTTTGCGACGAAATTTCAAAGCAGGTAGTATTCAAATTCGTTTGAAACAGTTTGAAATTCCGATGCAAATAACAGCTGCATGTACACCCAAGTAAACCTCGTGTCAATCTCCAAGAAAAAGATCAATGGTATCATCACTATTGCATACTTGGATCCCTAAAGTCAACGTAAACAATTTGTCTGGACTAGCCGTTTCATTTTCCAACTCTTTTTTTTCTTTCAAACCCAATTTATTTCTCTAAAAGAGTACTGAAATATTTTTAAAACAATACTCAACCGCATATTAAATTTTGGCAAGACTATTGAAAATTAATTCTAAATACTTGTTTTTACTTTTTCAAGGTCACGAGAACTGATCAAGGCCGCAATCCTGGATAATGACTTTATGAAGAATTTGGAACTCACCCAGATCCGGGAGATTGTCGATTGTATGTATCCTGTTACTTTCCCCGCTGGTTCAATTATCATTAGAGAAGGAGATGTCGGGTCCATTGTATTCGTTATGGAAGGTACAATAAGCTTTTTATTAATTTGTCAATCTTTATATTGTATATTGCTTTTTTTCGCTGATGCTGTTAGATCGCTATATAGATAATCTTTTTAATACATACATACACATATTTGAGAAATAAATCAGTTATGTGTATAATATTATTTTTTCATCATATTGTTTTAATTTTAAAAGAATAATGATTATAAGTCGTTTATCTCGCTCTCATTCACAATGAATTTCAAGGTTAAAGATTTTGCAATTTACAATAAGATGTTCATAATACACCTATACCCATAATTATAAAAAGTGAAAAGCGCAGATTCTTAGATTCAAACATCTTATAATAATTCAGTAATATATAGGACTAAGTAGATGGTTGAAGCTGAATCACAATATGCCAAGTTGTAGTATACTTTTCTGTAAATTTCAATCAGTTAAACTTAGAAATAACCGATTTAGAAGCAAAAAATCAATTGATATGGTACGTTATTAGTAACTGGTTTAACGAGTCAAATTTCATTAATTTTCCACTTACTTTTTATTGATGATCAGTTACTTTTTCACTTTTTCACAGATCAAGCAAGATTTAACTTGATTAAAATTTATAGAGTTCGCACGCTAACATTCACTTCTGGTGCATAAAAATTTTTCTATAGAACACAATAATTCAATGCTTCCTTCTGTGGTGTATAATCTTATTGTGCCTAATTTATACAAGTTTTCAGTGCAATAGGATTTGAAGGTACTTGCTCTTCTTGCACTGCAAAAAGAAGTATGTAACTTAATATAAGATTTACAAGATGTTTTAAGTAACTTTGTGACTACAAACTTTTAAGATACTTGTTTTTGTATTTAAATCAGTGTGAGTATTTAAATTATTGATAGTCAATGTCAATGATTGACATTGACGACCAAAATCTGTTTAAATATTTTAGAATGATCAATTGGTGGAATCCTCGTCTCTCTTCTTGAATGCAATGTTGAATTGAACAGTACATAATATTATTAAATATCATGTGTATATTATACCTATACAATATGTCCGTGGAAGTTGATTTCCTCCGACCGTGGTAGAGGATGAGAACCCCTGTCCTTTCTCTCAGAGTTACTGTCCTACGTGGAGGGGGTTTTATAGTATTCTGAAGAAAAGAGGGGTTCTCGTGCATGGTCTCGCGGGCGTAGTTTTCACCAGTCGGGAACGCTCTCAACGTGTGTCTGTGCATTCAAAGGGACCTTGAGTCTCCAGTCTCCAATTCTGTTTCTTTCTTTTTTTTCTGTAAAGTGACACGAAAAAGTGCTTCCTATTTCCGGAATAAAATGCCACTCAAAAACATTTTCCCTAAATTTTTGGTTCGTGTAAATCCGCAAATGGTTTAAGCTAAAATCGGCATTCTAATATCTAAAAATTAATCTGAAACAGTGATGAAAAATTGAAAAATTGAATGGCACAATAAATTTGAGGAAACAGCAGAAATATTTATTGTGGAAAAGTGTCATGTAATTCTAAAAATTGTTCTTTGTCGGCATCATCATTGTGAAGAATAATCATCAACAAGAATATTACAAATGTTTTTTCGAACAAATATTTAAGAACCAAGTTCAAAATATGCTCTACTACTTTGTGGAAATAATTGTAATGATAAATCCGAGGATAAATCATTATTGTTTCTCTTAATTCAATCAATTTTTGCTAATTTCATAATTATGTATCTGTTATTGGTCATAAAAAGATTTCTATTCTTAAAAATTGATTATAAAACTGCTTTAATTCTTTTCTGTGATAATGTAATGCAGTTAAACTTGTAAACAGGTTTGTGATTCATATATAAAAACTAAACATTATATACAATAAAATATACAGACTGTCAAATGTGATTAGAAAGAAAGTAACTTTATATCAAGAAATATGAATTAGAATACTTGACACAAGACTTTATCTTGTGAGATTGTTTATTTAGATGCATTGAATGTTCAGTTTCATTGTTATGATATTTTTCTCCTTTCTATTCTGTCTGTGATTCTAGCCAAAAAAATAGTTTTCTGTGATAGCAATTACGAATTCCATTATAAAACTATTATATGCATTTCATTTTTAGTTGGTCTCTTTTTGATGATCATTTATTAAATTATAATCATTTTTAAAAAATAAACTAGTTGGATGAATGATTATTATTAATGAATTTATCATGATTTAGATGAACATCTTAATGAACATACGAATGAAAATCCAGAAGAGGAATTTTATTTCAATAAACAATTTTTCATGGCGCAACAACTTAAATTAAACAAAACTGTATATTTAACTTAAATTCAACAATGTTATGGTTCGAGGTTCGTTTTCAAAAGCATTTCTTTTGGATAAAAAGCTTAAATAATTATTTCTTTAAAGAATGGTTGTGATAACTTTGTGGATTATGCTGAGCATTAATAAAAAATGAAAAAAAACATTAACGTCACTGACATGATGAAAACTTGAACATCATGTTCTTTGTTAAATAAAATGATGGAGCACCTATTTAAAATATTTTGAATTAAATTCTTCAAAAGCATAATAATTATAATAATAATAATAATAATAGTTTGAAAGGGAGAATTCTATTTGATATATTATAAAATACTTTGACTCTCCTTCTTCAAGGTTGAATTCCTTGAAAGTACATCTTAGTGCCCTTAAATCGACGAAACCGCGCAGTAAGAAGCATCAAATTTTATCCTTCCTTGCAGAAGAAATGCGGAAGGCACAGTGTATGCACAAACAAAGACTCCAAAAGTCGTTACAAACAAAAGTTACTCCTCGACTTTCAGATTTTAAAAGACTTGAACCCTAAATTTTCTTCTTTCTGAAAGAAATAGAAATTTTTGAAAAGTAAAAACATTTTTTCAACAAGTACCAATACCAATATTAGAAGAAAATTGATGATTTAAAAAGTCACGCAATCTGGGAAAATTGGAGCGAAATCATGAAAGTGAGAAGTTATCCGGGTCGAGCGGTTTTAGAGGATCAAGAATTGATTCTGGACCCGGATGCAACCCGAGGAAGAGCAATGGAACTTTTGTATGAGGCCAGCTGGAGGGAGTGCGATGTTAATTGCATGAATAATTCGCGTTCGAAACCAAGGAATTCCAACCAACGAAATATTAGTGGCGAAAGAAGACAACCATATTCCGAGGTGATTAGTCAATTAGAAGGTGTTTTAGATTGTAGTGGAAATAAATCTCCGTGCTCAAGAGAGGCACGGTCACCGAGATCAAGTAGTAGTACTACTACTGATAGTGATTCCTCGGAAATTAATCAGACAAACGGTCAAAGCGGTTTCCTCATTCCACGGCCGAGGCTAATTGTACCAGTGCACACCTACGCCAGAAGAAGACGAACTGGTGCCCCACCTCCCACTAGAAGACGTCCTTTTCGTGAAGGTATTTCCAACATTTTTGTCCTTCTTTCAATTCATTAACTACAATTTTAATTAAAAGACATTCTTTATCCCCAACATATTATAAAATTTTATATATTTATGTTCTTTCTGTGTGTAGTCTTTGATTAAAAATTGGTATTGTTTTATTCCATATACGTGTAAGAACCAGTTTTTATTGAGAAATACATTTTTAACTTATATTAATTAAATGGTTTAATGTCTGAGAAATCAAAGCGTATTATTTAATTATATTGGAAAATCTTTTTTATTGCGGAGAGAGAGAGAGAGAGAGAGAGAGAGAGAGAAAGCCGCGTGGAAGGATCAAGGATAATATGGAAGGATGCAAGCGAGATTGTATGCGATATTATGAATTTCATGATACCAAGAAATTCATCACACTCTGTAATTTAAAATTCTTTCTATAACAAATCTCGTATTACTTATTATTCGTTTACAATTAAAAATCTTACCATAGGTACACTTTCAATACTTTCCAAATTTGAATTAATAAAATTCTACTAATAAATAGTAAAATTTCACTAATTATTATTTGTAATTTTTGTAGACTAATTCAGATTTAGAGAGTAGATTATTATTAATGATACATTCGTTATTATTAATTAAAATACATCACAATAATTCATAACCAAAGGACAAACTTTTATTTTGCATTTGGAAATAATTTTACTCTTTTTATCAGTTCTTGCAATCTTACATTTTCATTCTTATTGAAGCATTATAGGTATTTATTATTGGTTACAATAGCAAAAGAAATTTTTTTGAAACAAAAAATTTTATATTTTATTGAGTTGAAAATTTATTTTAACTCAATAACCTTTCCTTGCCTTTCTAAAAAGTTTTTGTATCCTCTTTAGTCATTCAAGGCTTCCTATATATTTTGCTTTCTGCAGATAATTCTAGACAATTACACATTTCACAAAATACTGTGTGTCTAATTGTTTGAAACCAAGTTTCCATATTGTTATTTTTTTTACATATAGAATCTATTCTTATGAATTTCTTTATAAGAAATAATTTCAATTTTTAGCAAATCAAATTCTTTATTTACAATAATATAATTGTAATATAATATATTTATATAAATATAATTTTGTCTGGATATAAAAAAGTTTGAAGATTATTACATTTAATAACAGCTTATTAATATTATAAAGAAAATTCTACTGCTTGCGTACGTATGATGACTATAATAAATGAGTAGATTGTAAAGTTTCCTGAAAGATTTTCCAATGTTTCTAAAATAAATATAGCTGAAAAAATAAAACCCAAAACATCTCTATTGGAGAAAATCTTTCAGGATTACTTGTGAAAAGGTTCTAATACCAAAGTTTTGTATCACTGATTTCTTGAAAGTATTAAAATGACACTCTCCAGTTAACAGGATATTTAGAATATCCACAGGACATCCTAAATATCTAAATGGTACGTTAGATATTTCGATCAAGTTGCACAAAGACTTGCAAATTCCTCAAAATAAACAAAACAGCAATCGATTATATTGAAATTCTGTCACACGGAAATAATGAGTTAATCGAATGATAACTATATACCGACAAGGCAGCTTTCACCAAAAGCTATCAAGTTTAATGGGATAGGAAAAGAAAAGAAGCCTGATATTTTCATCGATTGAGAAGCTAACATGTGTGTGTTCTTGTCCATATATATTTGTAATATAATGCCCCAATCAGCCATTATGTCGCACAACAAACCATCCATGCTTGTCACAACTGAATGTCGAGAGAAGCAAAAGAAATGCGTCTAAACTAACGTATGACAATTAGAACTCAGTCAAGTTTTTCTCACTTTTTTATTCGTTTCTTAATAATAAAACATAGATGCACAAAACTCATTAAAGTGGAATTTTTTCACAATATTTCTAAACATATGCATTTTGAAACAAACTTACCGAGTCAAAATTTAGGCCCTCTTTTAATTCTCCAAAAACCTCTTTTTAACCTCTTTTTAACCTCTTTTAAGCCTCTTTAAACTTCTAAATCCTCAGTTAGTGTTGCCGCGATACGAGACGAGGTGAGAATTTTATCAATCTCGTCTCGTCTCGAGCGTTTCCTCGTGACTCCTCTCTCGTCTCGTATCGGCTCAACTAAAATTGTAATTTTTTTCACAGTTTTTGAATGATTTCAATAAATCTATTAGCATAGATAGAAATTTGAAATCCTCTTTTTAACCTCTAAACATCGGAATGTGGATTTTTCCGCATTGTTTTCAGGTTCAAAAGAGGTTTAAAAAAGGTTTAAAAAAGGTTTAAAAAATGAGGGTCAAAAGAAGGTCTAAATTTTGAATCGGGTTTTTTAAACAAAAGCTATGTTTAAAACTCGATTTTGCTCCAAAATTGTACATAACTAATTTTTAGAAATTCCGGGTCAGGTCGGAAATCGGGAACAAATATGGAAATTTCTGATACTTAAGTTACATCCTTCATATATAATTATACTTGTTCCATAACCATGACTGAGCATATTAAGAAGCATTTTTACCAAAAAGTATATTAAAATAACTGTTTTTCTATATATTTCTACCATATACATTTGTAGGAATATTGAATTTACTCCACATGAACAGGGAGAATCTACTTATGAGTAAAATTTCATAATCTCCATGATTGCGAAGCGATGGGGGATTTTGTTTTCTAAATTAATTTTGCTGCATTTCTTATTTATTAAGTTATTATTTCACCAAGTAACATAACACTTTTCGAAATTTTAATTCTATATTGTTGGCTGCAGTATTTTTTCAAGTATCATAAATCAAGTACTTTTCAAACGATGCAGAAACGCCCCGCGTGAAATGCAATCGTTGAATGGAAAGGACATATATATATATACATATATATGTTCGTCTTGCCTTTGTCTTTAAAACTGATATATTTCTTACAATGTGGCCACTGTTCTATTTATAAGAATGTTTTTTACTTTTAAAATAAATTATTGTCTCTCTTCCCTCAATATTTTCTATAACAAACTGAAAAAAATATTTTCTTCTAATATATGAAAAGTAACATTTTTAATTTAAGACTATAACGCAAAGATTTTTGTCTCAAAATAAAATTCATTTTTGTAATAAAGGGATTACTATGTGTTCTTTGAATGGCAGTCGCCAGAGACACTGCCTCAAACATCATTGATAGTTGTATGAAACAAAATCGCATATAAATAGAAATTATCAAATTCTCAGCACATCATCTTCAAGTTTTCTCTCTTTTTCTTTTGATTTATATATATATATACATATTATACATGTTAATTCATAAATCATTAATCGCTCCACACGCAGCCACTGAAACAACCGAGGAAAAAACCTTGTATTTGTAATCTGGCGCTTGCGATTCTATTGCGCGGTTAATGGGGGATTAAAATATTATTTATAACGTGGGTTGAAGATATTATGTTCAGTCGCGGAGCATTAACTATATAGTATGTTTGACTAACCTTTGATAGAAGCAATATCGTATTTTCACTTCATCTTTTCTCTCCAATTTTATCTTTTTCTGTTGCTATACATTCATTTTCTATTTTCAATGAATAAAAGTTTCTCTCCTTTTATTTCTGTCTTTAGCAATTTTCAATTAAGTAATTGATGTTTGGAAGATTTTGACGAGGATTTTAAGGTAGTCTGCTAAATAAATATCAATGAATCACAATGCCTTTGTGTCTATAAACAAGTCCTGTGTCAGGATGTGAAAGCAATTCATTGCGTGGACATTCCCTATTTGTCCTTTTGAAACTCTCATTTCGCAGTCGAACCGGACTTGACAATGTTTCAAAATATTTTTACTTATGCGAGTTTTAAATGCGCAAAAAAATTTAAGATTCTTACAACTTTCAGTATGATATATAGTTTCACAGAAACTTAATCGAAAATTTATTAAACTTTACTTAAAAAGTGTTTTTTATGCAATTAACATTGATAATAATGTACTTTGAATTTTATTCAAGTATAAAAAATAAATTACATTCGTGTTACATTTTTCAGTTAAAAAAATAAAAATCGGTCAAATAAAGTTTAATTTTTAATTGCTTTGTTTCGAAGAAAATGAGTGTTATTTTCTTTAATTGGATTAATTTAAAGTCAATTAGGTATTGTTATATTTTTTAATTTTAAGTCTTTTTAGACAATTTCACTATTATTCTGCGTACATAATAGATTTGTGGGCAATAATAAATATAGTTATCGTGGGAAATGTGGAAACCTGTTGCTATAATCGTCGACGACCATCAGAGCATTAATACTGATGATTAAAATGCAACGTACTCTTGAAGGAATTTCTAGAATGATATAATTTTCATTACAATAATTTATAAATAGTGTAGAAAGCCAGAGAATGGAGTGAAAAAGAATGTTATATATTTAGCAATATTATAATCTCAAACTAATTGCATTAAAATGTTTTTAAAATACATATTAATTATTCACGATGCAATGTGTGAGCAAATTTTAGTTAAAGTTTTTAAAACATAGAGTTTTCTATAATAAGGATGATTCTATCACTCAATCGTCAAATAATTAAGTGGTGGTTAACTTGAATTTTTAATTATAGACGACCATAAAATAGGAACATAGAAAGGTTGAATTTATACATTCATGTGTATACAAGTACTCTGATTGTTAGAAGAGGATAAGTTGATTCTTATGCAAAGAGAATTTCAAGGCATGATTCCGCTTGCGAGATCGCAGAACTTTCACCTATATACGAAATTAAACCTAATAGTAGAATAAAGAAGAATTCTTCACCCAACAAGTGTTGCTTATTGTTTTCAGTACAAGTCGACAAGGACCAGTGCCACCGAATAGCCATAAATTTCTATTTCGTCCTGCACTAATCAAATTAACCAATCCAATAGAAAAGTTTTTAGCAAAAATAATGTCCTCATAACTCCATTTCGATTGGGTCTCATGATGTTGTCTTCAGAATTACAGCTAAATCCTCTTTGTATTTACTAATTATACTCTGTCAAAAAAATCCTTTGGACATCTAAAAAAGCGTTCATGTTTCGTCACTTTCATCATATATTATTTAAGCAATCGCTGTTATTCGCTGTTATTTTTTTAATAATGAGGCTAAACATTTATACACCAGAATGCACTTCCCTCGAAGTGTTGGTGGTTCTGTGATTGAATACAAGTTTTCTTCGATTGAATTGAAGGCGATTTAGCTTTCGTTTTAATAATCTTTTATGTAAACCTAAATAAAAGTAATTAGTAGGTAACTGAACTACAATATAACTATTTTAATTATAAAAATAGAATGAAATCTTTTCATTTCATGTTCTAGCAGTTAATTTTAAATCCATTAATTCGCAACATCTGAAAAATTAAATTTTTCTTCATTTTTAAAATCTGCACAGTTTATTTCTTTCGAAATAAATATTAAAATAATGCCCAGCGAAATATAAATTGAATTTGAATTATACTTAATTAAATAGGTATTTTATTAGTACAATTTTTATTTAATGCGTTTAAAAAGTAAAAGAATATTTGAAACATATATGTATATATACTTATGGAATGAAATTAAAATGGTTATTTTTTAATTTTCTTTCAGAGGGCAAGGTGGAAGTTTCTAGAGACGGAAAATATTTAAGTACCTTAGCGCCTGGAAAGGTTTTAGGTGAATTAGCCATTCTTTATAATTGTAAAAGGACAGCAACAATAACAGCAGCAACCGATTGTCAATTGTGGGCCATTGATCGACAATGTTTCCAAACAATCATGATGAGAACTGGTCTTTCGAGACAAGCAGAATATACGGATTTCCTTAAAAGGTATATTGCAAAAACAATTAATTATCTTTTTCTTTTTCTTTAATCAAAAAGAGGCCCTAAAGGTTCGACAGTCTTATATATTTTATCATTTATATTCTACAAGAAAGACAATAATTGTTTTCTTTCAGTGTTCCTATTTTCAAGAATCTTCCGGAAGAAACTCTCATTAAAATATCTGACGTTTTAGAAGAGGTAAGCATCGTTTTATTAAAAATTATATTAAAGAAATTAATTACTTAATAAAGATGAAAATCCCCATAAAGAATAAAGTTTTGGAAATATGAAAATTGTTTATCTAGTATATTATAAAATTTGTACACATTTGTAATTAAGAAAATCGTTTCCTCGTGTTTCAGACGTTTTATAATCATGGAGACTATATAATTAGACAAGGAGCAAGAGGTGACACTTTCTTTATAATAAGCAGGGGGCAAGTGAGGGTGACAATGAAACAACCCGACACAACAGATGAAAAATATATTAGAACTTTGGGAAAAGGCGACTTTTTTGGCGAGAAAGCACTTCAAGGGTCAGTTTATGCATTCATCAATGCACATTTTCTATTAATATTTTTTACATTCAATTCCATAATAGAATATATATATATATATTTGTTTGCTAATTTAATGTAAAAAAATTTATACTCTTTCGACATTTTTTTCTTGTGCTTTAAATAGACTGAAACTAAAATTTTCTTTCACCCTAAAGAGCAATGCATTTAATTTAATTTATTATTTATAATGTAATAATTCAATTTTCAGAGATGACCTTAGGACAGCAAATATAATAGCAGATGATCCAGATGGTGTGAGTTGTCTCGTAATCGATCGAGAAACATTCAATCAACTTATTTCGTCTTTAGATGAGATCAGGACACGATACAAAGACGAGCTAGTTGAACGTAGAAGGTAAATAATTAAAGTAACAAATTAATAGTTACTGATAAGAACCCTTGAAATGAAAAGAAAAAATAGTTTCAAGGCTAGATTTATAGAATAAATGATTGATTTTCAAAAATTTTTAAACTCTTAAAGGTGTGAAAGTTCCTAATGAAAAATTGCAATTCCCAATTTGACCTTTTAAAATAGCAAGTTTTGCATTCGCATGAAATATTGCAATTGATGGAAATAAATTTATCCCAGTCTTAATTAAAATTAGAAAAAAAAATTGTGTTTCACGTCTGACACACAAGGATGGGACGTTAATCTGCTGGGGGGTTTAAAAAAGTAAGTTCTCTAATATTGCATGATGAGAAAAAAGATTTGTTAGACTAGTTTACATTATAATATCAGGGTTGCTACAAGTCTGGGATTTTTATTAAAAGAACTGGAATCGAAATGAAATGTTTAGAATTTATAAGAAACTTGTCAATTTTTGTGTCTTTTTGTTTGCCTCATAAACTATGAAATTACCACGAATTCTAAAAAATACCTTCAATTTTTTCTATTTCTGACAATAATTTATTTTAAATAACTTAATTCTATTGAAGAACTACCATAAAGTTATTACTTATCAGAGGGATGGCAACCGAAACCGATAATATTTAAGTATGGTACCTATGTCTAATATTGTAAATAATAAGTAGAGGAACCAAATTTGCAGATTACAAATAATTAATTAAAAAAAATTTATTGAAAATAAATTAGAAAACAATTTTTTTTAAATAATTATTTGTGATCATCCTGTAAAAATACACTAGTGGACCAATTTTTAGCTAATTAGGTGCACACAAATATTTTCATTCATATATTGTCCTGGGAAAACAACCGAAAAACCGAAACCTTTAACCCAAAAAATCGAAATTTTTAAGAAACCGAAAACAAGAAACCGGAACCGTAATTATTTACATTAAAAACCGAAACCCTAATTCTTTGAAAAAAAAACCAAAACAGAAATACCGAAACCGAATTTTTTCAGAAGAATACAGAAAAGAAGAAACCGAAACCGATAAAATTTCAGTTGCCATCCCTGTTACTTATAAATCATTTAACCGAGTATTTTTTTTTGAAAAATTTTAATTTCAATTCTATTGAAATTAGTTTCAATTTAATAAAATTTTAACGCAATTCTTTGAAAGAATTCAACTATCTTAATAAATATCAAAATTCTTTCCAGAAATTCAATTATTTTCGAAAATTAAAAAGAAAATTCTCGTCAACATTTCAATTAAATTTATAAATCGCAAAATTTAGGAAAAAATTTAGGAATTTTTATAAAATCCATTGCAAAATTCAATTATTTTCATAAATAACAAATATTCATCATAAGAATTCAACTATTTGCAAAATTAATAAAATTCTTCGCAAAATTCCAATTATTTTCAAACAATCTAAAAAAAATGGTCAATATTTCAATTATCTTTATCAATGAATAGCAAAATCCTTCGCCAAAATTCAATTGAGGGCTCGGATCGAAGAACCGACGCTTGTAAACGCAAAGAACATTGCGAAGCGTCATATCGGTTCTTCGATCCGAGCCCTCAATTATTTTCAGGAATTTTAATAAAATTCATTGAAAAATTAAATTATTTTCATAAATAATAGTATTCCTCACAAGAATTTAATTATATTTTCAAAAATTTTAATAAAATCCATGTCGAAATTTCAATTATTTTCAAAAATTGTTTCTAATTCAATGATTTTTAATATTCTATTAATTTATTAAAATTTTCCAAAACAATTCAATTATTAAACAAAAATTTTGATAAAATTCTACACAAACATTCAATTATTTTCCAAAAAAGTAAAAATTTCACACGAATTCAATTATTTAAAATAAATTTGCATAAATTTTATCGAAAAAATCAAATGTTTTGAAATGTGGCATTAAAATCTTTGTAGTAATTCAATTTTTTTCATAAATTTTAAAATTCCATTCAAGGATTTAATTATTTTCATAAATAATAAAATCATTTTCAAAAATTTTTCTTAGTTCAAGCTTTAGAAGCTTTCAAATGCCCTTAATGAAAGAATTTCCGAATAATCGAAATTTAGCGTAAAATTGAATTGTAAACAAATGGATTTGAAAATTCTCAAGAAGAACTTTTTAACAAAATAATTAAAAATAATTGGTTTAAAGAAGAATTTTATTTAAAAATAATAATAATAATAATAATAATAATAATATTCTTATATAATACAAAATAGGTAATGATTTCATCATTTTATTATTTATAATAATGATGGCATATTTATTTAAAAATAAAGTTATTGGTGTTTTTGAATAATTTTACAATTAATGAAAATTAAATTTTTGTGGCAACCCTGAATATGCCTTTGCTTTTTTTCGGAGAAGAGTATCAACGCAAATTATTCCAATCAACATAATAAATTTCACCTTTTTTCTCAACTTTTACTAATATTTAGGATAAATTAATTTCTTGAAGAAAATAGCGTAAATAACAAGGGTTAATTTTTTTTTAAATAGGAGCAGAAATTAGTTATAAGATAGTCAGTGATAATTATGAAATTACAATTGCAAGTATATAGTGAGTTTATTGCCAAGTCGTTGTATACAAGCGTTTTACTCCGATTACATATTCCGATTCACTTGCAGTTTCTACTTTCTAACATAAATTGTAAAGAAATTCATGATCATTAAACTGATACGGTCATCGGGATTCACGCGCATTTTAAATAATATAACTAATCTAAATTTCTACACTCGTACGACCTATATCTTATTTTTTTTATTTATTATAAATCACTCATTCTCAATTGCCTGTGTATTTCAATTTTTACCATGCTTCTATTTGAAATGTTTTAAAAAAATGGAACTGAAAATGTAATTTTCTTGTCATATACGTATTTTGCTCAGTCAGGAAAGAAAAATTTGAATACTAATTCTTCTCTCTCTCTCTCTCTCTCTCTCCTTAGATTTAATGAAGAATTCAGAGACCTTCGACTGCAAGATCTTAGACCATTAGCGACCTTGGGAGTTGGAGGATTCGGAAGAGTGGAGTTGGTGCAAATTGCCGGCGACAGTTCGAGGTCATTTGCCTTAAAGCAAATGAAAAAAGCTCAAATTGTCGAAACACGACAGCAACAACACATCATGTCAGAGAAGAGAATTATGGGCGAAGCCGACTGTGATTTTGTTGTTAAACTCTTCAAGACATTCAAGGACCGGAAGTATCTTTATATGTTGATGGAAGCGTGCCTCGGTGGAGAATTGTGGACGGTTTTAAGGGACAGAGGACATTTTGATGATTCCACGACGAGATTTTATACTGCCTGCGTTGTTGAAGCTTTCGACTATCTTCACTCAAGAAACATTATTTACAGGGATTTGAAACCTGAAAACCTTTTACTCGACAGTCAGGGGTAAATCTACATTTTCACATTAAGTTTATTTCTGCACGGGGTCACATTTTATTATTTAAACAGACAATAATTCAATTTTCTATCACACAGATATGTAAAGTTGGTCGATTTCGGATTTGCAAAACGATTGGACAATGGAAGAAAAACTTGGACTTTTTGTGGTACACCGGAATACGTTGCACCTGAAGTTATTCTCAATCGTGGTCACGATATCAGTGCGGATTATTGGTCCTTGGGGGTTTTAATGTTCGAGCTTCTCACTGGAACGCCGCCATTCACAGGGGCTGATCCCATGAAGACGTACAATATCATTCTCAAGGGAATTGATGCCATTGAATTTCCCCGAACAATTACACGAAATGCAACAGTTCTTATCAAAAAACTTTGTCGGTATGTAAATTACTTTTACTACACGGAAAAAAATAGTGTGCTAAAAACACACATAGCGAACTGTTGCGTATATTGCACGCACACTACCATGCGCGATTTGCTTGGAATCCATCCTATTTTCGCATGGTGTTGTAGTAAAAGCCATGGCTCATGTGACTTTCGCTAAGGCACCATGCGAAAATAGGATGGATTCCAAGAAAATCACGCATGGTAGTGTGCGTGCAATATACACAACAGTTTCGCTCATGTGTTTTTAGCACACTATTTTTTTCCGTGTACAATTGATTTTTTTCACTTTTACTTGAAATTATTTTTTTCATGTTTTTATTTTATAATATATTTTTATGTAAATGAAGAATTACTGAATAATTGAAATTTTGTAAAATTCAATTGGAAACAAATGGATTTAAGAATATGAAAAGTAAGATACCGTCTGATGAAATTATGTCTGACTAAAATTTATTTTTACTACTTAATTTAGAGAAATACGAAAAATAGGAAATGAAGTCTGACTAAAATTTATTTTTACTACTTAATTTAGAAAAATTGATTTAAAGAAGAATGTTAGTTAAAAATTCTAGATAATAATAATTGAATTGAAATGATGAAAATAATTGTGAAGGTGTTGCAGTAATAATAATATATTCTTATAATTTAAAACAATGATTTTATCACTCGGTCATTTTTAATTATTGTAAAACATGAAGAAATTGATCACTCCGAGTCAAAGACTCGGAGATATCGATATCTTTATGTTTTATAATTATGAAAAAATTTGTCAATTTTGTAGTTTCAAGTAAAATGTTGTCGTATTTGACTCGGACTGGTAATATTTTTTGTCAGTAATTGGTCCGTAAAGTCCGTATTTTTAAATACTTTCACTGCATCGAGCCCTGCTATTATTAAAAGTTGTTATAAATAATTGATTCAATTTTTTATTTCTCTGCGACAGGGATAATCCAGCTGAGCGTCTCGGTTACCAAAAGGGTGGAATCAGCGAAATTCAAAAACACAAGTATGTTTTTCAGTAATTGTACTTTTTTAAATAATTATTCAAATTATTATTTTTTATATTTTTTGTATTAAAAAATGAGAATGTAACAAATAAACAAATTTTGTTGTGCTAATCTTCAGGATGTTGAGAAAGGTATTTAAATAAAATAAGCTTTATATTTATATGGCATTTTGAAGAATAATTAGAAATTGTAACGAAATTTTCTTGTAGATGGTTCGATGGCTTTAATTGGGAAGGTTTGAGGGCCCGCACTTTGGAACCACCAATAATGCCACGAGTACAAAATCCTATGGATACAGCAAATTTCGATGAATATCCTCCAGATTCCGATCCACCACCTCCGGACGATATGTCAGGATGGGACAATGACTTCTAGCACATTCGGAATGGCCATTAGGCTCTCTTATTAAAAAAAACACATATTTCAATGTTCATTGAACGACCGACTATAGTTTATGCAGATTTTTTTTTCTTTCTTTCGATATTTTAAAAAATGAAACGTCATTAGAAATATTCTTCCAATTTTTTATATTATTGTAGCCATTTTCATAGTTGTCAAAATTGTTTGAAGCGAAAATTTCTAATTCAATATTAATCTGCTTTAAAGCAAAAATTAAAAACATTTTTGCAAAGTGAATTTTCTACACTTAGATACTGATTACATACATATCGAAATTTAGAGAAACTTTAATAATTATAAATATTTTAAATTCTGGCTTGTGATAAAAATAATTATATGTATAGCCTTTTATACTCGCATTTTAGCGAAACTATTTTAAGGCAATGTAGCGCAAAGAGAATAACATCAATTGTACAAATTTATCTCAATATTTTTTAAACTTTTGTGAAATTTTGTATGACAAAATTTCTTCTTAATTTCTCATTAAATACCGTGAATGACTGACATTTTTTTTTCTTTCTTTTACAAAACGTGTAAAAATTAAAGTAAGGCTCGGTATTTAAAAAAATTGAAAATTTATAATAATATGGAGGTAATTGAGTCTTGTTAGATATTAGGAAGCCAAGTGCCATTATTATGTATAATACGAAAGTGCGCTTGCACACAAGAATAAGTAGCCAGCTCAAATGTATGAAAATTTCTCTTGCCATCTGCACTGCACTCCGATAAAAAAAATAAATATAAATAAATGCGATCATACTCGATCGCAGATCAATTTTTCTCTCATGCGCAGATTCAATGAGCCAATTGTTGTTTTATTCGTTTTTATAGTTTATTGACATAATTCTATTTTAATTATATTGAGACCATTTGGTCATGTAAATAAACTATACATATTATAAATACATGAAATATTATGTACATCTATATAAATAAAGTTTTATTAATTCAACAATTGATGACGACATATTTTATAATAGAATTGTAGTTTATAAACATTTTTTATTTTTATTTTAATTAAATTCTTTTTATTAAATTATCTTTCATGATGAATAATTCGGTTAAATTACACTTTTGCTATACTTAAAATTTATTAATTTTCTCTGATATCAAGTCTTTAATGTGAATTATATTATGTACATCACACGGAAAGAAATCTGCTAGTATTATACCATTGCATTGGTCGGCCAATAGACTTATGCCATTTGACGCCACCACTACTTTTCAGGCCGAGTACCTAGATGGAATTAGTACATCTCTGCATAGAATAATACTGTATGCAGCGATGGACTAATAGCATCTACTCGCCTGAAAGGTAGTAGTGGGGGTCCGATAGAATAAGTCTATTGGCCGCCCAATGGTATAATACTAGCAGATTTCTTTCCCTGCATTTTTTACGATTTTTACAAATTAAATTATATTTAAATTTTCCCGCGAGTCAACACGCAAGATGCACGCGCATGCGCAAACTAAGTTTGAACTGGCAAATCAAAAGTGATCACGTGATTATTGAAATTTCTTTTGGGGGAGAGGCATGAAGCATGAACTGGCATGAACGATGAACGTAGGAAGAAGCCTGAGAGCCTGAGTCGAACTAGGAAAGTGCTAGCAAGCAGCAGCAAGACAAGAAGCATAATGGCCCTCACACCTTTAAGTTGTGCTTTTTCATTAGAATAATCTTCCATTAATAATTCCCGTAACTGATTATATTAACACTTCAAAATAAGTCTCTATCAGTAAATTAAATTTAGATATTAAACGAAAGAACAGTAAAAAAGGAATAATTAAATTCAGTTAAACCGGTGTCGTGTCCTGAAAATTTCGTCAGTCAATTTTACTTCTAGTGCGGCAACTATATACAATTGGTAAGTAATTAATATTTTATTATCTTCATTATTATATTCAATTCAATTTTGTTTCAAACTCCCTTCTTTTCAATATCTCTTTCATTTTTTTCTTTCATTTTTAACATAGCTCAGGAGATAAATTAAGTGAACGATAATTAATTTCAACAAATTAGAATTCACATTATAATTTCCTTGCATCAATTGATGCATTTATATCTTACATGTTAACTGTTTTTCATAAATTCTTATTATTTGACAATTATAAAGAAAAAAAATTGTAATTTCAAACATAACCTCAAAATGCAGTACCCATTTTTTTTTGTACAATTAATTTTTTTACATATACCAAGAGGTATATAAATTTTTTTTAGTATATTTCCCGAAAGGTAAATTATTTTATCCAACCTTTTTTACTTCTTAAAACTTAATGTTAGTTTATTTATATAAAAATTTGTATAAGCATACATAAATTCAATTACTAGTCAATTATAATTATATATTATTATAAATATCCACTTTCAAGTTATTAATGTAAGTCTTAGATAAGAATAAGCAAACACACTTTTTCTTTTCGATGCGAGAGTGTAATAATAATTATCACAATATTTTGCTGATAAACCAATTATTTGGAGTAATAAAATTAATAGGAAAATTTACGACATTCCTTCACAACATATGAAAACAAAGTTTTTCTTCTATTTACTGTGTTTTCCTTTCTTTCTCTCATTGAAAATGTTCTATGTTTATGTACATATGTAAATGCAGTTTCCCCTTCATAAGTAAATAGTTAAATTTTTAATATACTTTTAAAGAAAATAAAACTTACAGAAGTTCCTATTTAGTGAAATAAAATTTCATTTATAAACTTTAGAATTTTAGGGACGTTTTAATTGTTAATTTTATGCAACTCTAAGTATAACGTAACTGAGATAAAACGCTTTCTTATTAACGATACGCATGAAGCAAAAGCTGACAACATACAAAAAATATTCCAAGGTCATTTTCACAGAATTTCCGAACGTGACTTTGTTTTAAAGTTAAGGATTTAAAAATTTGATTGTATTAAATAGGAAATACTATATATATATAATTTTAAAAAAATGATACATATTCGCATTTGTTTACGAGGGGGGCTAAATCAGTGTTGCATGATGTTTATTTGTTTTGCATTAATTGCTTTTAAAAACATCGCTTCTTCATATTTACCTATATTAAAGGATTAATTACAAATTAAATGATAAAGGAGAAAATAATTAATCAATAATAACAAATTTTTAATTACTAAAAGCCTTTGACGATTTCTTACACGTAAATAAATATAAAATTGGTATAGACGAATAAAAAATTCATTTCGATAAAAAAACGTATAACAGAGTCAATATTGAATAATATGTTAATCAATAGAAGTAGTAATAAGAATTAAAATAAAAATAATTTATTTTCATCTTTTGTAGAAAATGGAGGGCACCGGTAGAGGAAGAGCTAGTCTCTTGGACAGATTAAAACAGCAACAAGCTCAAGTGAGACAAGCTGAAGAGACAATTGATGAACCCAAGGAATCGCAAGATGTTTCTCCGGTTGTAACCATAGGACGTGGACGGGGTATTGCCTCTCTTCTTGCGTCCGTTGAAGCTGCTAAACCACAAGAAGCACCACCACCACCAAGCCTAGGTGGCGGTCGAGGTAGAGCAAGTTTCATATTACCCCCTGAATCGACAGCTGCGTCGTCGACCGTTGCATCGATATTTGGTCGTGGAAGAGGATCTGCTCCTTCGTTGGTCTCAGTCAAGTACGTAAAAATTATTATTTTTATCTCAAAATTTGCATTTCAAAGATACATTTTTTCATTTCAGATCTACAACAACAACCACAACGTCATCAGGTTCAACGCCAACAACATCAACAACTTCCCGAGATGTGTCTGGTGTTGTAGCACCTCTAGAAGCGTTGAACATCACCGAGACGAAATCTTCCGAACCAGATATTGTCTCGCGACAGGGAGAAAGTGGCAGACCGTAATATTATTTTATTTCCTTTTTACCATGAAACTAAAGACAAAAAATTAATTTTTTCAAGTTAATTCATCTTAAATTTTTATGTATTTTTTTCAGAGAATAGTTAACCACAAAGAATTTAAAATGACAAAAATTATTAATTTTTTATTTTTAAAAACCTAAAACTTAAAAAAATCAATTTTATTTTTTCAGAATTCACTTAACTTCCAATTACATTAACTTGAGCATAGAGCCTGGAAAGGAACTCAACATGTACGAAGTTAAATATAATCCTGACATTGATTCTCGTCCTTTGCGAAATAGATTACTACTTCAGCACACAAATGTTATTGGAACGACGAAAAATTTTGATGGTTCACTATTATATCTTCCGCGAAAATTAGAAAAAGAGGTACAGTACATTTACAATTGTATTCATTTTTATTTTTTAGAATACTAAAATAATTAAATGGGATTGCCAGGGAATTTTTATCAGAATCCTGAAAACTGTTTTCTAAAGTTATTATAATGGATTTATAGAAGAATTTTAAAAGCACTAAAAGAAATTGAATTTTGGAGCAGTCACAAATAGTTGCAGAAATTCAATTATTTTCAAAATGGTAAAATTCTTGGCAAAATTTCAAAAATTTTCCTCAATTCAATGATTTCAAATACCTACTATTTTAATCAAATTTTCCAAAATAATTCAATTATTTAATAAAATTCTACGCAAACATATAATTATTTTCATTAATAATACAAATTTCACAGCAAATCAATTATTTACAAATTTTTTATAAATTTCTTCGTAATAATTCAATTATTTTCATAAATAATCAAATTAATTCTTTTTCGGAATTCAACTATTTTCATAAATAATAAAACTCATGGCAGAATTTCAATTATTTTTAATACAATTTTAATGTAATTCCTCGAAAAATGAAATTATTTTTAAAAATTTTATTATCAATATTCGTCATAAGAATTTTAATTATTTTAAAAAGCTTTGCTATAATTTATTTATTAGAATTTAAGTATGATTGTCAATACATTTTTAATTAAATTTCTTTAAAGAATTAAATTATTTTCAAAACTTTTAATGAAATTTTTCGTAGAAATTTAAATAATTTCAATAATTTATCAAAATTCAATTATTTTTAATATCTACTACTTCAATAAAATTTCACAAAAAAATTCAATTATTTAAAAAAATAAAAATTGAATATAATACTACGCAAATATTTAATTATTTTCATAAATAATAAAAATTTAATAGGAATTCAATTATTTACAAATTTTTTATGTCTCTTCACAATAACTTCATTTTCATAATTACCCAAATTTTTTACAGTGATTCAACTATTTTTAATGCAATTTGAATCTAATTTCTCGAAAAATGAAATTATTCTTATAACATTTTATCAATATTCGTCATAAGAATTTTAATTATTTAAAAATTTGTTGCCAAAATTCTTTATGAGAGTTCAATTTAAAGAAACATTCAATTATTCAATAAATTATTTATTTTTGTATTTAAATAATTGAATTCTCGTAGAATTTTTTCGTGACTTTTTGCTTTCGAACTAGCAGATTTTACTAAATAAATAGTCGTTTCTACTAATTTAATAGTAAAATTTACTAATTCAAAAGTAAAAAGTCAGTCACTACCTATTTTCAATTAGTAAACATTTTTACTAAATGAAATTTATTTATTTATTTAGTTTCAAATTATAATTTTTGAAAGTTTGAATTTTTCATACTTTTAATTAAAAATTGTGTAGATTTAATTTTTTTGAAAAAGTTTTATGGAATTTTTTTGAACATGAAGAAATTGATCAGTTGTTGAATTTGCAAAAAGTTGAAATATGATTGAGTAATAAATAGATAAATATAATAATGCAACTCTGTTAAATGAAAACTTTTTTAGGTAACAGTATTAGATTCTACACATCCGGCGGATGAATCGAAAGTCAGGTTACAAATAATATTTAAAAAAACTCAAAAAATGCATGAGAATGTGACATTTTTCAACATTCTCATAAATCGTGTGATGAAAGCACTGCAGTTAGTGAAAGTTGGTCGAAAAACGTTTAATCCGGCTTGCGGACACGTGGTTCAACAGCATCGATTGGAAATTTGGCCTGGATATGTTACGGCTATCAATGAATATGAAGGTGGTCTGAAATTGTGCATAGATTCAAGTCATCGAGTTATGCGAACTGACACTGTTCGCGATTTCATGTAATTTTTTTCCAATTTTTTACTTTATCTTTACTTGCATTTTTTCATTACAATAATCAAGTTTTTAATTCCCTTATACAGGAGAGATATTAGTAAAAAAGATCCGAAAAATTTCAAGGATAAAGTAGTTAATGAACTGCTTGGTACTTCAGTACTTACAAGATATAACAACCAAACTTACAGAATTGATGATATTGCTTGGGATAAATCGCCGAAATTTAGTTTCAATCGTAAGGGACAAGATATTTCTCTAGTCGATTATTATAAGACACAGTGGAATTTAATTATTCAAGATTATGACCAGCCTCTTTTAGTGAATCGTTCAAAAGAACGTACTTCGGATGGACAGGTTTGTTTCTACTTGTTAACAATTTTTTCTTACTTCTATTCTTTTAATACCTTGAAAATGTTTCTTATCAATAGACTATTGAGAGAATGCTTCTTCTGATTCCTGAATTTTGTTATTTGACGGGAATTACGGACGCAATGCGCAGTGACTTTAGAATAATGAAGGACATTCAACAAGTGACGGGAATGAATCCATCGGCGCGACGTGATGTGATTAGAAAATTTGTTGCAAAAGTGAAGGAAACCGATGTTACTAGAGAACTTTTGGCGGGTTGGGGTTTGAGAATGGAAGCAGATACCATTAAAATTACTGGTAGAGCTTTAGATCCAGAAATGTTAATTTTTGGAAACAACAAAACATTGTCGGCCGGACCAAAAGCTAATTGGCCTGGAGCAACGAAGATGCCAGTTTTACGCACTGTTAGTAGTTTTCATTTCTAAAATGAGTTTAATTTGAAATTTCTTTTTAAGGTCATGTTATTCAGTGGTCACGTGCTCCATATACTTCACTATGGGAACACGTGACCACTGAATAACATGACCTTAATGCATTTCTCTTTTTTTTTTAGCCTCACTTGGAAACTTGGTGTCTTTTGTTTGATAAGAGAGACGAGAAAAAGGCGAAAGACTTTGTGCAAACTCTAAAATTTGTTGGCAAGGCGGTCGACATGACAATAAGAGAACCACAAATGATTGCTTTACCAAATGATCGTACAGAAAGTTTCTTGGTCAAATTGAAAGAGATTATACGGCCAAATATTGATATTGTAGTATTGATTTTCCCCGCTCAACGACAGGATCGTTATGCTGCAGTAAAAAAGTAAAATTCTCTCCTAAATTAATTTCAAACATTTAAATTTTTTCAGTAATCATAAATTCATTTTATTGTATAGTTATTCTGGTAAATTAATTAATTAAATTTTCTAATCAACGTTCACTTTCAGACTCTGCTGTGTGGATATGCCAGTTCCTTCACAAGTTATTTTATCAAAAACGATTGGAATGGATCCGAAGAAAACAAAGAGCGCTGTCGAAAAAATTGCTTTACAAATTAATTGTAAACTCGGTGGAGCTCTCTGGGCTTTAAAGATTCCATTTGTTAGTGTTTCTTTTTTAATTTGAAGAATTTTACATCTTTTTTTTTATCATTCCCCTTTATAAAATTTGGATTTTATTTACTTGTAGGATAAATGTATGGTATGCGGAGTCGACGTCTATCATGCTGGACCTGGAAAAGTGACGCATGGAAGTGCCGCTGGTTTTGTGGCCAGTATGGATAAAGGTCTCACTTCCTGGTATTCAAAAATATGTATACAAACCAGAAATCAGGAGCTTGTTGATTTATTGAAAATATGTTTAGTTTCTGCTGTTAAAGCTTATCATCAGGTACGATTTTTTTCATTTTTCATTTTTCCTTTCTCACTATACTTGATCAATCAACATTCTAAGACTAATTTTTTTTCCCTTCATAGAAAAATGGATTTTATCCCGACAGAATATTCCTATACCGCGATGGGGTGGGCGATGGTCAATTAGAAGTAGTTACCAAGTATGAAGTTAAGCAGTTACTTTCAGCTTTCTCCCTCATTAGCACGGACTATTCTCCCAAATTGACAATTATAATTGTTCAAAAGCGAATTAATACAAGAATTTTAGCAATTCAAGTAAGTATTGTAATTGGAAAAAAATATTTATTTAATTCTAAAAATTATGTTTAAAATTAATTAAACGATTTTATTTTATTTTATTTTATTTTATTTTATTTTATTTTATTTTATTTTATTTTATTTTATTTTATTTTATTTTATTTTATTTTATTTTAGCAAAGAGAACTTGAAAATCCACCACCAGGAACAATTGTGGACAGCGACGTGACTAAAAGAAATTACTATGATTTCTATCTAATTTCTCAACACGTGGGCCGAGGAACTGTTTCACCCACACACTACATAATCATTCATGACAGTGCAAACATGAAAACTGATCATCTTCAACGATTGACGTATAAATTATGTCACCTTTATTACAATTGGTGCGGCACAGTGAGAGTACCAGCGCCATGTATGTACGCTCATAAATTAGCGTATCTCGTTGGCCAAAGTCTTCAAATTGAACCAAGTGAAAAATTGGCTCATCACTTATATTATCTTTAAATTTTCAGATTTTTTTTCCATTATGATATAATTAATCGTTAAATACGGAAGAAATCGTTAAAATTAGTGTTTATTTAAGAAATTATTAATGATAATTAATAGTTGAAGATTTATTATTTAGTCTATTAAATATTCTCTTTCGTTGAGTATATGAAATAGTTTATTGAAACTGAAAAAAATAATTCTTTTTTTTTGGTTTTTTCAATCTATAATGATGAACAGTATTAATGAACGAAATGTTCAATATGTTTTTTGATTACTCTAAGTTGTAAAGTAAAATGAAAAAATGTCATTTAATTTAAATAATCGTTTTTATTTTTATTTGCGAAACATCTCTATTTGATACGAGACTATACTGTAAGTTAACGAACAAATTTTTGTATTTTTATACTTATAATTGTGCAAATAAAAAACGATATAAAAACTTTAGTTTTATTACAGACTTTACCTCAATAGATATACTTATTTAGAATAAAAACACGCGAACAAAATACATAACAAATATTCGTAATTCTTGTTGTTCAAGTAAAGGTTTTTTCAATAAAAATTTTAATTATTATCGTTTGTATTTTAAAAAATTTTAATATATGTAAATATTCTTGGCATGCGAAGGCAAGAATTCAATTATTTTCAAAAAATAAAATTTAATAAAATTTCACAAAAAAATTTAATTATTTTCTAAAATTGTAATAAATCCAACGAAATAATAAAATTATTTTTAATTAATACAATAATTGTTGGAAAATTTCATGAAAGAATTCAATTTTTTCGAAAAAATTCAATTATATATTCTAAAATTAAAAAAAAAAATCCTTCAAAACAATTATATTATTTTTATTATTACCTACATAGTAAAATCTTTGCAAAAATTCAATTATTTTTAATAAATTTCAATTCAAGAAAAAATTCAATTTTTTTCTTAATTCCTTAGGGAGCGTTCACAAATTACGTAACATTATAAAGGGGAGGGGGGGGTCTAGCTATTTGTTATGTACAGCAGAAAAATTGGCGCTAATGTATGTAACAGTGTGTTACATGGGGGGAGGGGGGGGGGTCAAAATTTTCAAAAATTAGCGTTACGTAATTTGTGAACGCTCCCTTATAAAATTTCACAAAAAAAATCAATTATTTTTATAAGTAGTAAAATTCATCGCAAGAATTAAATTATTTTCATAAATAATAAAACTCAATTATTCTCAAATTCTTTGAAAGAATTTAATGAAAATAAAAAAAAATTGTTGATACATGTATTTATATATATAGTTTTTTTTATTTAAATCTTACAATATTGTAATACACAGGTATAATTGAAGAATAATGTGTATCTATTAATTAATTTTAGTAACTATATCGTCGTCTTATTATTAAAATAGTTTTTTTGTATAGATTTGATAGCACTACCTATTTTTAAGAACTAATAGATATTTGTCATTATATAGGATCGAAATGTGTGATGAGAGCCTATTATTAAAGATATTTCTAATAATTAATTTTGTTTAATTTTCTAAACTTACACAATTTTTATCCCATTATTTAGAAATTATAGTAAATAATTTTTATAAATGAAATTATAATTTGGGTTTACATTAAATATGTATATGTTGGGGGTTTTGTATATTTACACTTTCGGCAAATCCTCTTGTTAAAGTGCATTGGATACTTTATAAAGATGGAATGATATAAATGTAGAAGATTTTTAAATAATCAAAATTAGATATTATAATATATTATGAATATTTCTTACATTATTGTTAATTGCATGATGAAAATGATGTATTAAATAATCAATTTTTATATTTTGCACATCTGATCATTGAGGATTTATACATATATGTAGTCTTTGAAACTCAAAATACTATTCTGATTAACATATTTTTTTTCAATTTTTTGTATTTAGTGTAAACAATTAACACTATTTATTAAAATGTTTCTTCAATTGAAAATAAAAATAGATTAATGAGTTGCAATTACATATTACACTTAAATATGTATCTATATACAATTAACGATGAATTGCAAATTTTTTAGATATACAAAAGTTAATTGAAAAAGTAAATTCTTTTTATCCAGTATCATTATCATCATGTTTTGTTTAATTATTTTTTTAATTCATTCAATTTGTTTCGCAGTATATTTTTTAATGGCTACTTGACATTCATCTGAACACCACTGATTTACTAATATATGGGTTTCAGATTCTAGAGCGTCATTTAACTTATTTCGTAGACTTTGACGTAAAAGAGCCTTCGTTGCTTCCATTGACTGTAACATAAGAAATTAAATTAATTATTAAAAGTAAACTATATTAAAATACTAAGACTTGAATTTCGTTTAAAGTGCAATGAAATAAACGAGAAATTACACAATCAAATATCTGAATAAATTACAATATAAAGAAAGGTGTGTATTGCTTAACGTCACCTTTTAAGAATCGTGGGTGAAATGAATACTACCTACACATGATTTTATTTACTTTTTTCTAACACAAATAAGTTTACTAACTTTCAGAAAATTGTGCGAAAGTAGTTTTAAAAGTTTAAAGCAATGCTTATTTTTTCCATTTTAGTACTACTTAAATATTGTAAAATATTTTTTACACTTTTATTATTAGCAGAAGGTAGAGAAGTTGTTATTAAAAGCAAAGAGAGCACAGTTGTTTTTGCATATAGACCTGGTGTAAGTGGTGTTACGTAGTTTTTGCATTCAAGAAATACAATAGGGTAAATGAAAATAAATATAAAAAAATGTTTTCATTATTAGATTGAAGGTGAGAGTGGACTTGATGTCTGTGAACCTAATCAGGCATGTAATATTGTTCACAACCGTTTTTGGCTTCCAACATTGACGGAAAGATTATGTCGATGTTCAGAAGGACAAGAATGTCCTTGGCACTGGAATTATATTAAAATTTCAAATAGCAGTACTAGTGAGTCTTCAATTATAATTAATAATAGATCGGTACTTCAGGTAAGCTTTATTTTTATCATTTAAATAATTTTTTAACAATTTGCAATTGAAAATTTTCTATTTTATTTTTTAAAGTTTTGCAGTTCAAAGGATTTGAAAAATATGAAAATATGTTCCACTAATGAATCAGCAATTACTCTACTGGGAAAAAGTAATTCCAATAATACATTAATACACTCACTTTCAATAAAAGTTAAATGTAAATGTCAGAATCCATTTTTTTGGAAACTTCATAAAGCAAAGTATATGAAAAGTCAAACGGTTTTGCAAGATTACAAATGTGCTACAGTAAGTACTTAAAATTTAAACTATCATCATTATCATTAAAAACATTTTCATTTTACAATTATGGTTGAATTTGTTTTCAGCAATGGATGTGTGACTCACTTGACTTTTGTGGTCATGTTAGAACTGATTTCTTTTCTGTTTATTATCGTTGTACTTGTCCACAAAATCATTGGTGCATTTTCCGAACAAATGAACAAGAATACAAAACCTACGTACATGAGCTTGCTTATACAGGAACAGCTTTTAAAGCCTATTGCATTCCACACACCTAATATTTTATTTATCTTTTTCTTTACTAATTATTTTATTGATAAATAAAATAATAAACTATTGCTTTAGAAAAAAGATGACAAACAACATCTATTGTGACTATTACTTAATATATATCCTTTTAAAACTATTAGACAATTAGAAACAGAAAAATTCCAGGGTTGTCACAAATTTTCTTTTTTCCAGATAAACTTTAATTAAGAGTGATTAGATACTTAAAAAAATGTCCTACTACATTTTGTCCTACTACGAATTTCTTTAATTGTAAAATTATTCGAAAACATCAATAACTTCTTTTTTAAGTTGATCTATTTATGCGAATATTGTAAACGCAACTCTTTTAAAATTCAATTAATTTTGAAATTTTCAAGTAAAATTATTCATTAAATAATTTATAAGTGATAATTTTATGATAGTTATTTGAAAAGAAATTATTGTCAGAAATTGAAGAAATTGGAGGTTCTTCCCTGATTTCCCTGAATTCATTATGTATTAATTTTTTAAATACCTGAGAAGACTGCTCACTCATTGCCTTTACTAAAGGAAGTAGTTCTAATGGAAATCTTTCTGGCCACAATACCCTTGTAACTAGACCTGCCCTCAATGCTTCACTGGCTGTTAAGGTCCTTCCTCCAAGTAGTAATTCACTTGCCTGCATTTGAATGTTTAACAGTTGTAATCAATGAATAAAATAAAAATCATGTTCTTACATATTGCATACAATAATAGTTAATTCTTTAATCCATCTTTTTTTCATATCCTATTTTTTTTTACTTACAACTGCACTTCCATGAACATGTGAAAGGGTCATTATCGCCGCTCCCTCTGGTATTTGTCCCAGCTTGCCATAAGGGGTATAAAATGTTGCTTTATCACTAGCTATTACCAAATCAAATAAAGGTAGGATTGTCACACCTAAACCGACAGCAGCTCCTTGAACTCCAGCCACAAGGGGCTTATTAAATGTCGCCAAGCATTTTATAAATTCCCTGTAAGAAAAATGGTAAAATTTGTATTTTTTAAATAAAACTTTTTAAATTTTTGCTTAAATATTTCAAAGTAATCAACTTTTTAGAAATTAACAGGGCTCGAACTAGGTCCGTAAATCCCGTAAAAGTCAGTTTTTTTGAAAAAAGGTTCGTGAATTCTATAATTTGATTGAAAAAGAACGAAAAGTTTGTAAATTGTACGATATAATTTGGAGAATTTTAGAGAAATTATAAATTGTTACAAATTATATTCAAAGATTTTTAAAAATTCTCGTAGAAATTTCAATTATCTTTAGAAATAATAAAATGCTTCTCCGAAATTCAATTATTTTCAAAAATTTTGGTAAATAAAATTGTTGGCAAAATTTCAATTATTCTCAAAAATTTTCCTCTTTTTCAATGATTTTCAATATCTACTATTTTAATAAAATTTTCCAAAAGAATTGTTGTCATAAAATAATAAAAACTTCACAGGAATTCAATTATTTACAAATTGTTTATAAATTCCTTCGCAACAATTCAATTATTCTCATAAATAATAAAATTTTTACAGGGATTCAAATTATTTTCGTAAATAATCAAATTCTTTTTCGGAATTCAACTATTTTCATAAATTTAGATATAATAAAACTTATCGCAGAATTTAAATTATTTTTAATACAATTTTAATGTAATTTCTCGAAAAATGTAATTATTCTTAAAAATTTCATTAGAATTTAAGTATTATTGTCAATACATTTTTAATTAAATTTCTTGAAAAAATTAAATTATTTTCAAAATTTTTAATGAAATTCTTTCTATAAATTTAAATGGTAATTTAAATAATTTATCAAAATTCAATTATTTTTAATATCTACTATTTCAATAAAATTTCACAAAAGAATTCAATTATTTAAAAAGAAATATTTTAAAATTTTGTTCCAGGAATTTAATTATTTTCAAAAATTTTAATAAAATTCTTGTCAAAATTTCAATTATTTTTCAAAGCTTTTCTCAATTCAATGATTTTTAATATCTAGTACTTTAATAAAATTTCACAAAAGAATTCAATTATTTAAAAAAAATTTAATATAATTCTACGCAAATATTCAATTATTTTGATAAATAATAAAAATTTCACAGGAATTCAATTATTTACAAATTTTTTATGTCTCTTCACAATAATTTCATTATTTTGATATTTAATCAAATTTTGTACAGTGATTCAACTATTTTTAATGCAATTTGAATCTATTTTCTCGAAAAATGAAATTATTCTTAAAAATTATATTAAAATTCATCGAAGCATTTCAATTATTTTAAAAAGCCATCGTAATAATTTATTTATTAGAATTTAAGTATTATTGTCAATAGATTTTTAATTAAAACTCTTGAAAGAATTAAATTGTTTTCGAAAATTTTAATGAAATTCTTTTTAACAAATCAATTTTTTTCCAAAATAATTTTAATAAAATTCTTCACAGAAACTAATTAATTTGAATAATTTATCAAAATTCAATTATTTTCAATATCTACTATTTCAATAAAATTTCACAAAACAATTCAATTAGGTATTTAAAAGTTCGTCTCAAGAATTCAATTATTTTCAAAAGTAATAAAATTGTTCGCAAAAATTCAATTATGGTCAAAAGTTTAAAAAAATTCTCTTTAAAATTTCAATTATCTTTATAAATAATAAACTTTTTCTCCAAAATTCAATTATTTTCAAAAATTTAAAAAAATTCTTGGCAAAATTTCAATTATTTTCGAAACCTTTTCTCAATTCAATCAAATTTTTTACAGAGATTCAATTATTTTTAATTCAATTTTAATCTAATTTATCGAAAAATGAAATTATTCTTAAAATGTTATTAAAATTCGTGAAAAGAATTTTAATTACCCATTTAAAAATCTGTTGATAAAATTCTTTATGGGAATTTTTAGAATTTTTAGAAATAATTGAATTTTGAAAGTAATTTTTTTGAGAAAGTTTAATTGCTGATTCTTTAAAAATATTATTTCAAGTTTTTATTTTGTAATATATACATTTAATTGAAGAATTTACGAATAATTGAAATTTCGTAAAATTGAATATTGTAAACAAATTAATGGATTTGAAAAATGTCAAAGAACTTTTTGGAAAATTATTAAAAATAATTGATTTAAAGAAGAATTTTAGTTAAAAATTTTTGAAAATCCTAATAATTGAATTCATTTTATCACTCGGTCATCTTTAATTATTATAAAACATGAAGAAATCGATCTCGGAGTTATCGTTATCTTCATGTTTTATAGAATTATGAAAAATTAAATTTATAGTTTTAAGTAAAATGTTCTCTAATTTGACTCGGACTGTTTATATTTTTGTCAGTAAATGGTCCGAAATTTGTTACTTTTTTTAGGTCCGTAAAGTCCGTATTACTTTCACTAGTTGAAGAAACGAATTGAAGAAATCAATCTTCTCCTGCTGTACAATCGAAATATCTTTTTTTATGAAAAGAATAAACTACTTACTTAACAGCATTTGCCATTTCTTGGGCATAAATTTTTCGTTTTTCCTTATTAGCGTGTATCAAAGTGGAAAGATCCAGGCCTTCACAGAAACTTGTTCCGCCATTAGATGTAAAGAGAACAACGCGACATTCCTCATCGGTTTTCAATATTGATAGAGTATTACATAATTCTTGCATCACCTGTAAAATCAAAATACTCTGACATTCTTTCTTTTCTTCTTCTTCTTCTTCTTCTTCTTCTTATTATTATTATTATTATTATTATTATTATTATTATTATAGAAAATTACCTCAAGAGTAGAATTCCTAAAAGAAATATTAAAAATTCGGATGAGTTTAATAACGAATTTCAGAAATACCTTTAATGTGATTCCGTTAGTTAATTTTGTTGTCGAAGGAGTTAATATTAATTGCACAAGATTTCCGTTTCGAGAGACGCCTATTTCTTTGTTGTCACTGAAAAGTCGTGAATTCAATGATGTATCACTATGTGTTGGGTCACTGCTACTATTACAACTATTGTATTTATCGCTCTGCTTTTTAACATCATTTGTGAGGGCTGAAAATTAAAATTATTTTTATTTCTCGTTCTTGCATTTATGTAACTTTTTTACTTAAAATTATACAATACCTTTATTTTTTCGACCCATTGAATTTGCAGTACTTGAATGTTTACCGTGTTCAATTTCACTGCTCTCTGTATCACAATTAGTATTAGTATTACTAGTAACAGATAAAAGAGCCGTTGCTGCTTCTGCTAAACAAGCAGATAATTTATCTTGATTTTTACACGATTCCTCTTGTCTTGTGTCAGAAACTTTGTCATTATTGTTGTTGGACGTTAAGGAAGTGGACTTTTCTTTAACAATTCTTTTCTTGTTTTGGCTGTTGGGTGTTTTTTTAAGAGCTGCACTATTACTGCCACTTGATCTAGTAGTAATTTTATCAGTTGTTTCCAAATTGTTTGTATTCTCATCAGCGGCATCTTGATTCAAATTTGAATTCTTGATAAGTTTTTTATTTCCTTCATTAATATCTACAGTTTTACTTTGTTTTTTTATTGAATCTATTCTAGTATCTTTATCTTTATCTTCAGATTTGAGAGTCGACGATGACGGTTGAGTAATATTTATTTTACAAGATTTTGGACTCTTGTTACTAGGGGGTAGTGGTGTATTTGTAGAAGATTGTTGTTTATTGCGTTTTGCCTCTAAAATGTTATGCTTTGTACTTGCTTTATCAGAAGATGACTGTTTCCTCTTTGTTGTTGATCTTAATCCGTGATTATTCTCATCATTAGATTGTTGTTGTCCTGTTTCCAAAGGACTGTCAATACTAACTCTTGGACTACCTGAAACACTTGAAAATGAACTAGAGGAATGTCTTCTCACAATTATTGAAGCATCAGCTGCATTTCTAATTTTTGCTGGATAAATAAATTCAGTGTTCATTTCAGTAGAATTTTTTCTCTTGTCATTTGCGGCAGAAGAGGAGGAAGCAGAAGAAGAAGAAGAAGAACAAATATCTTCTGGATGATGATGATGATGATGATGATTATTATTATTATTATTAAGAGTATCTTTGGGAGGACTTGTTCGTCGTTTTGTACGATAAGCAATTTTATTCAATTTAATATCAGAATCTCGTAAACCAAGAACTGTACTTTTAACAAGCTTCTTGCGAAGGTCTAAATCTCGTTCTGCTTTTTCTATATCCATCACTTTTTTTTGTGATTTTGTAATTGGAATCAAACGTTTTTTTCTTGGCTGTCCCACATCGTACAATAGATTAACCACACCTTCATCTTGTAATAGTTTATCAATTTCTTTAATACCAGACCTTCTCTTTCTTTTGGGTTTTAGAGTTTCCGTTTTTTTGAAAGCCGATCTCTCTTTCACCAATAATCTCTTGGGAACATTGATTTTAGCGGGCCTACCTACTGGTCTTTTATGCAATGATGACATTGTTGCGGTTGTTGGTGATATTTTTTTTTGTACATTTGTCGCCTTTTTTGTTTGATGTTTTAACAATCTTGGTGATAAGAATCTTTTTGTAAGAATTGTTGCTGTTGTTGACTTCCGAGTACGAGTTTCTTCCAAGGATGTTGTAGGTGATGAAAAATTATCTTTTTCTTTTTTCCCAAGATCTGGTGTTTTTGCATTTTTATCCATTTTTCTAATATTGCTTGATGGTGATTTAGAAGATATCAAATTATTATCTGTGGCTTGTGAGTCTTCTTTTGATCCTCCTTCAACATTAGTGATTATTGCAGCATCAGAAATTGAAACTTGTTCAGAATTTGATTTTTTCCTTTTCGTCGGGGTAGAAACAGTCGCATTAAGTATTTGATTTATTTGTTTATCTGCTTTTATATCAGAGTCAACTTTTGGAGACGAGTTTGTTTTAAACATTCTCTGTCGCTTAGAAGCATATTGCTCAAGTGCTTTTTCAGTTGGTTTTCGTTTTCTTCCGGATCTTGTTTCATCAGTTGGACGAATTTCTACATTTAATGTTGTTGTTGTTGGCGTTGGTGTTGCTGTTGTTGGCTTTAATTGTGTATTTTGAGAATCGTTTTCTTTTAGTGATTTTTGAGCAGGTGATAACGACGTTCTTTTTGGCTTTGTTAACGATGACGGCGATGTCGATAATTTTGCTGCTGAAGTGCTTCTTTTTTGTTTAATAGTGTCCACTTTTTTTTTATTTAAATTTCCATCTTTAGGCTTTAATTTTTCTTCTTGTACAGTTAACGGTGATTTTTCCACGACGTCTTTTTCTGCTGCTTGTTTATTTGAATGAACTTTTAAATTCTTTTTCTTTAGTCTTTTATTTCCTTTGGATAAAGTTTCATCAAGTTGTTTTAAAGCAAGTTCTCTTGTCAGAGATTGAGGTTTCGACCAATCTGGATCAACATCTCCTTCTAGAATAGCAAGCAATTCTCTATTGTCAGAATTATCGTTTGAGTTAATGGTTGTGTTATTAATAACAGAACTGCTGTCCACACGTTCAAGACTGTCACGAGATTGTTGTATTGGAATTAATGCAGGAACAGGCATTGTGCCACCTGCACATATTTTACTTGCGAATCTTTGAGTTAGTTTTTTAACAAACACAATATCTGCACCTTGAGGACTTTCCAAATTCTTTTGTTTTTCTCGAAGTCGTTCTTTTAAAACTTCTGTAACTTCCGCAGGTGTTGCAATTTGACTTTTTAAATGTCGGCTTGGTACTTTTACTCCTAATCTCGGAGACTGTAATTTTTTTCTTGAATTTAACTCTTCATATTCACCGTCTTGATCATGATGTAATGAAGATGCAGATAATTCTGATGAATACGTTCCTCGAACATATGGTTGAACAAAACTTGGAATGTCGTCTTTAGCACGTGTTAAATCTCTAGTAATTTTCTTTGCCGGAACTGAAATCGAAGATGAAGATGAAGAAGGTATTGAAGATGTGGAGGATGTTGTCACACTATTGCTAGGGTTTCGAGTTTCCTCTTGCGGATTTTTAACATTTACATTTTTCTTGTTCATTGAAATAACAGTACTACTATCATAATCATTATTATCATTTTCGATATTAGAATTTTCATTTTGTATTATTTCTTTATTTGTCGTTAATGGTTTCTTTTTTATATTATCATCATTGAGAAGATTATTCAATTCAATTTCTACTGTATCTTGAATTTTAGTTGAAAATATTTGATTATCTTCATCAGCATTTTCATCTCCCCAATCATCAAAAATATCTTGTATAACATTTCTCGACTTTTCTACAATATTATTTGAATTTTTCACTACACTTTTTCTACTTGTTTTTGAAAAATAGTTTGTACTTTCTTCTTCTTCTTCTGCTTCTTCTTCTTCATCATCTTCTTCTCCTTCTTCTTCTTCTTCTTCAATTTGTTCTTCTTCATCATCATCATCATCCTCCTCCTCATTATCAATATTTTCATTTTGATTATCATTTTGTTGAATTTTTTCATTAATATTATTTATATTTTTCTCTTCATAATTATTATCATTACAGCCATCAACATCTTGAATAAAATATATTTCTTCTATAACTTCACTTGTACCTTCATCTTCATCTCCTCCTTCTTTTTCAATCATAATTATTTGTCCATCATGATTGCAAACTAATTCATCGTTACACAAATCACGTTCACTATTTTCAATATTTATACTTTCTTGAATTACAGATGTTTTTTCATTTTCATTGTCATTTATTTGCTTTTCTTCTTGATTTTCCTCTGGAATTTTATCCGGTTCTCCATCTTGAATATCAATATTTGCAGACACAGCAGCTATATTTATTAAATTTTTTTTCCGACAATCAACAGCATTTAAATTTAGTTTATCATTTTCGTCGTTATGAATTTGAATTGTGTTCTCTTCTGTATTACTCGAATATACTTCATAATCCGATGTTTGATTAGGCGAAATAAGATCCTTATTAGAATCCAGTGAATGATGATGTGCATCATCAGTTAAATCTTGTGTTGCATTTGATAATTGAATCTCAGGTGGATTTGTTAAATGAGTGTATTCGTCATTCAACTCACATTCAGAATTACTGTTTTCTAAAAATTCTGCTCCTTTATTATTATCAATAAGACTTTCATCACAATAATCGGCAATTGTTTCTTTATGTATTGTTTCGTCTTCGAATTGATCAACACTTAACGACAATTGACATTCTTCACTGTTTTCATCATTATTTTGTAAATTTTCCTCAATATCGTAATTATCCTCTAAAATAGTTTCATCAAGTACTTCATTTTTATTATTCTTCTTTTCATTTTCTTTCTCTTCTTGTTCGACTATGTGAGAATTTAAATTTTCATCGTCAATGTATTCATTCGCGAGATTAGATTCATCAAAATGTAATGTTTCCATAGTTTGAATTATAACTTGATCTTGATGTACATTAATTACTTGATTTTCCTGTAACTCGAGGTCTTGAATTTGATCATTTGCTTCTTCTTCTTCTCCTCCTCCTTCTTCTTCATCTTCTTGAATTACTGTAACATTAATTACTCGAATATTACTCAATTCCACAATTTTATTATAACTCACTTCAGACTTTGGAAAATTATTTAAAAGTTCACCTTCATCATTTTGATGGTTCTCATCAGTATATTGGTAGATATTTTGTTTTGAACTTTCATATGCTGCTACCATATTATCACCATTTTTCTCCTCATGTTGAATAGAAGATTCAAGGGTTGGTAACATAATATCAATACATTCAAGTGCACCATTGTCATCACCACCTGCAGATGAAAGTGCTATGTGGCCATTTTCATCTTGTTCGGATTTATCTTGTAAGAAATTCAAAGAATTTGTCGTTTGCTCTATATTTTCATGCAATTTAACAGCTTCTTCTTTTTCTGTCATACAATTTGATGATACAATATTATCCATAGTGTTAGTGTGTATAATTTTAATCCTTTTACCTGCAAAGTAAATTTCAAAATTTTATTTCAAATTTATATACCACGCACTATAACTTAAGTTACCGAGACTAAATTAACGTTATATTCAATTGTATAAGGATCTTGGAAAATTTTATCCAAATTTATTTATCAGAGGATACATTTTTTCTTTTTATTAAAAGCATTGAAAAATAATTTTTAAAATTAAAACCAACAACATTTTTTTTTTTTAACAAATTACGTTTAACGTGACTCAAAATATGTTTAATGTTCCGTAAATTTACAATTAGAAAGAGTTTTCCGCATCTTTATTTCAATTGATGGAATTATTCGATTTAATTAAACTTTAAACATGTAAGTTAGCTTAGTTTCCATTAAAAATAAATATAAAAAAATTGTAACACTTACAGCAGTATCAAACAGAAATCATAATTAACAGCAGACAACAAACATCACAGTTTACTCAATTAAAGTAAAATTGATAAATCGGCTTTACTTTGTTAATAATGTATTGTAGGTTTTAAATGCTTTTGTGTTTCCACGGTACGACTGCTGCTGCAACATAAAGATAAAAATTTTGATTAAACTCGAAAAATCATTGTTATGCTATCAGTGTAAACTCATACATGTCCCCAAGATAAATAATATAAACACCAATTTCTTAAAGTAGAATTTAAGTAAATATTAAATCCACTTTGAAGAAAAAATCATAAAAATATTGATATAACATACCTTCAGATTACAATTGCTATTTTATCTAATACAAAATTTCACTTGTGTGATTTTCCTTACAAAAAATTGTAGGATAATAAAAAAATGGTAGCCATTTTCAATTTTCATTTGGTTTTGTGGATGATTAAAGGTTAATCCAGAATGGACTTTTCTAAAGGTCTTTTAACAATAGAATAGATTGGTATTGTAGCAACACCATAAGGTTATTGGAAAACTAAAAAGTGTTGTCACATTTCGAAGGTTTCTCTCTCTTCAAAATACCAGCACCTTTATATCCTAATTTTTTTTTAAGTAAGACAGAGAGAGAGAGAGAGAGAAAAGAATGTAAATATATTCTGTCCTTTTCTAGAAAAAGGCAAACGATCATCTCATAATTACAATCTACTCAAATGTGAATACACCCTAATTTGTAAATGTACCTTGTGCTTACGAATGCTTATAGGAATGTTTCCATGGAAACGTACGAGTGCGACACGTTCGTCCGAGGAAGGCATTCCTGAGCAGCAGCAATGTGATTCTCTTATTCCTATCTATTAATATTTCTATGTTTATGGTTTCCGTAACAAAAGTAATGGCGATCCTGTACTAAGAAATTATCATGTGCTTTCATTTAAAAAGTGGCCTTTTCGGCTGAATTTTAAATAATACATTATTAAATTATATATTATTATATTCGTAGTAAACAATTGTATTATTATAAATGTGACTTATTGTCTCTTTTGTTTAAAAATTTAAATTCAAATTGTGAAACTGATTTATTTGGTGAAGTTCATTTTTTCATCTTAACAATCTTATGATCTCAAAGGGTGCAAATATACCGGAGCCTCATGTTTCTTTATTCATCATTTTTTAACAACTTTTTCTAAAAATTGAGTTCAGAATGGATTCAAAAAGCAAGGTATAAAATATTTATGTATTTTTGAATAAAAATGCATCGGGTTTAATTTGTTTGCACATTTTATTTAAAATGAAAAACATTTATCATTTGAGGTTAAACCTTGAATTGTTCTGCGAGATTTATAGTTTATCGATACCGGTATTTTCATTTAATTACATAATTTACAATGTAAAATAAATTTTAATTTTTGTTTCTTTTCTCCACAACTTTAAAGAATCATTGATATTTCTGATTATTACATAATACAAATTATATATTTATATTTTAAAAGGATTTTTATTTATTAATTTTTTAATGTGTTCAATCCTAATGATACGTTTTAGTGTTTTGTAGTAATAAACTTGAAGCATGATATAAATTTTCTTCTTGTTTTCAGATTGAATATGAATTCTTAGATTTTAATGGAGGAGATTTAGATGACAATGAAAGAGAAAAGTTACGAACTTATTTGCAATTGAATCCATCGTCAGATATTTTAAAATTGCCGTGGGATGTGGGAGATAATGATTGCAATGATAATATTGTGTCTGATCAAGAAACGGAATTAAATAAGCCCTGGGTGGCTTACAGTAAGTATTCTTTATTGTATAATGAAATGTTTATTTATTTTCTTGTTGTTGTTGTTATTATTATTATTAATCTGTAGGTCATGACGAGGACATGATGAAATACACTTTACCGCAAGCTACTCCATCTCCCATTTTTCCAGTGGTAATAACTTATCCCAGCGAGTGGGCAAATTGTGTTTATCAGGTTCCAAGTGAAATGAGCATGCAGTACACTACTGGCATTCAACCAGTAGCCCCTTATTCACCTTACATTAATCCTGCTGGAAATGAGAACCAAGATATTCATTCTGGACGAGAGAATAATAGAAGAAGCGGTGTTAGAGGACGTGGCCTAAAAAGAGGAGGGGGAGAGAATTACAATCATCGCAGTAGTCAAAATAACGATATTCCATTCTACTCTGTTCCTTGCATTGGCGATCAATATCCTTCTGTGTATTGTCCAAATAGTTATCCAGACCATACTATGATGTCTCAACAGCATCCGGCAGCTGGTCAACCTGTGTTTGTGAATCCACAACAAATTTATTCACAACAAACAGCAACCATGCACATACAATCTCACACAAATTTCCCCCAATATCATCATCAACATCATTCTTCTCCTTCCTCATCCTCTCAAAGCAACATTATGAAATATAATCGTCAATCACAATCGTCATCGATTCAGTCAAACGGTGGAGAAACCATGAAGAATACTTTAAAATCTTTTGATAAGCGTGGACAGAATAATAATGCTAATTCTAAATCCTCACGACAAAATGTAAATGATGATAAAAGTTCAAAACAAACCATAAGGACTACAGTTATTGTAAATAACAGTAATATGGAACCATTTGTAAATAATGCGGACAGTAATGCAGCAATGAACAACAACAACAACAACAACAACAACAATAGTAATAATAGCAATAGTATAATTAACAATACTAGTAAAGTTGTTGCTCCTTTTAACGTAAAAATTGATTATAACTTTGTTGCAACCAGAAATGAAACTTATGGTGGAACTGAGAAAAATGATGGGCCATGTGTGAACATTAAAAGTAGCATTGAAATAGAACAAAATGGTGAAAATGATAGTGATAGTAAGAAAGAAAAGACAGTATCAACCTCGTCTCATATACAAACAACCGTCTTAAAGACTCAGTCTTCAGTATCAAAGACTGTGGAAGACGATAATGTTGATGCTGCTGTTGCTGCTGATGCTGACGATGATGGTGATGATGATGATGATGAAGAAGAAGAGAATGTAGTTGAAAATGATTGTGATGTGCATCAACTGACTTCCATGAAATCACAACAATCTAATATTCCAGTGGATGATTCACCAAAAATTAAAACTTGGGCTAATGTGTTGAAAGATGCAACATCATTGACTACTGTCACTACAAAACCTACGGCTTTTATAAATCCAACGGTAACTGCTGTAGATTCCTCAGATGTCTTGTCGAATGACGCTTTTCTTTATACGCCAACACGCGAATGCCAACCACATGCGGAGCAAAAAGTCATTCAAAATAATGTCATATCTGAGGCATTGGAAAAAAATATAGGACCACAGACAAAACATAAAACTTCACTTGTAAATACAACTGCTCAACAACATGATTTTGATGATCCTCTTACGTATAGAATGGGTGGTAAGTTTTTAAATTAATAATCTATACAATTTTAATTATTTAGTTAATGTTAATTTTTATCAGTATTAACAGAAAATTAAAAATTAAATAAAAAATTTTTCATTTTATAGAATTTTTCATAAACTTTCAAATGGATAAACAGACTGTGAGTTTACTCCCTCGAGGATTAACGAACAGGAGCAATTATTGTTATATTAATAGTATTTTACAAGCTCTTCTCGCTTGTCCACCATTTTATAACTTATTAAAGGCATTACCATTTTCTGAAAATCTAAGAAGAAGTTGTTCACGTACTCCTCTTATTGATAATATGTAAGTACAGCAATTTTTGTTTTGTGACATGCAATTTATTATTATTATTATTATTATTATTATTATTATTATTATTATTATTATGCAAATTACAACAATTTTTATTTTCAAATATGAATTTTTGAATAATTTCATATTCAAACTTTAAAAAAAATCCAATTATTAACTAATTTACTAATAAATTATTCTTGTTTATTAACTTGAAAAATTTTAATCAAATTCTTCCCAATAATTCAATTATTTTCGTCAATATAATAACATTCTTCGTAAGAATTCAATTCAATTATTTTTATAAATAGTAACATTTTTTGCAGTAATCCAATTTTTTAAACAACATTTTTATAAAATTCTTTGGAAGAATTCAATTATTTTCCCAGATAATAAAGTTCTTCACTGGAATTTAATTATTTTCAAAAATTTTTATAAATTTATTGCAAAAATTCAATTATTTTCCAAAAAAATTTCACGAAAGAATTCAATTTTTTCAATTAATTTGTTATAAATTTTTTAAAAGAATTCAATTATTTTCTAAAGTTTGAATAAAATTCAATAATTAAATGTTCAATTTCAATTATTAACAAACACGATTATTTTAAAAACTTGAAAGAAATTGTTCATAAAATCCAATTATTTTCAAAAATTGTAATTAAAATTATTAAAGAAACTCCATTATTAAAAAAAAATTCAAAGAAATTCTTCAAAAAGAATGTATTTGGAATTTAAATAAATTTTAACAAAATTCTTCGCGATAATTCAATTATTTTCCTAAATAATAAAATTCTTCCAAGGAATTCTATTATTATCAAATGTTTTGACAAAATTCTTTGCAACAATTCGATGATATTCAATACATTAATTTTAAAATTGAAAATATTTAAAAAGTAAAATTATTCAACAAGTTAAGAAACAAAAAAGCAAACAACTAACTTCAAACTGCGAACAGATTACCGGAATAGAACAATTATTATTAATATGGCTGCGTCTACAACAGAAAAAATAATGTGTAGAAAATTGTGTAATATATAGTGTAATTGCCCTAACAGTTGTCAATGCTAAAAACAATACACATTACACTACAAATTACACATTATTTTTTTCTATTGTAGACTTGTAGACGCAGCCTATAGAAGATAATAAAAAAAAGTTTTATTTTAGTGTCATATTTTCTTTTTACTATTTTTGATTTTTTGTTATAACATAAGTATTGGATTGGAGATTACAGGGTGTCCAGCGGTCAAGGAATTTCATTTACTATTTTTGTTACTTTCATTTGATATTAATTTATTATATTTTTATTCCAAGAAAGCAGAAATAAGTTTAGTGAAATGTCAGAGTTTTTTTTCTCAATCCTTGCTGGATACCCTGCTGATTAGTATTATTTTGTTAAAGTAACTTTTTTTTTAATAACTTGTTAATAAACTTTACAATTAGGACAAAGTTTGTACACGAATTTACCCCTTTGTCTGAAGCTGCTCGTATGCCCAGAAAAGATAGAGGTAGTAGACGAGGTAATGAAGATACTCTAACCGATGTACATTGTGGAATACCTTTTGAACCCTCATATGTGTACACAGTATTGAAAAATACTTCATCAGCTGGAGTATTTTCCATTGAAGGAAGACAAGAAGATGCTGAAGAATTTTTATCATGTTTACTTAACGGAATAAGTGATGAAATGTTAGAAGTATGGTTTTTACTTTTTTCATTCTAATTTTTATTATCATTATTAATATTGCTTTAAGATTATCATATTTGTTTAATTAAACATTCTAGGTAATGAAATTGGTAAATAGCGACAAAAATTCAAACAATAACTCAAACATGAATTTAAATTCTGAACAACAACAACAAGAAGAAGAGTGGCAGGTACGTAAATTAATATTCAAGTTTCAAATATTAGTTTTTGTGACTGTATATGCATAATTCTTTCAAATTCACAGATAATGGGTCCAAAGAATAAAGGTTCAATCACTCGATGCACAGATTTTGGGCGTACACCTCTTTCCGACATATTTCGAGGTCAATTAAGATCTCGAGTTCATCGTGCTGGTGAACAACCAACAGATTATGTTCAACCATTCTTTACTTTACAACTAGACATTGAAGTAAATGATCAAACTTTTTTTTATTATGCACATTTTTAGTTTGTTACTATATATTATTCTTTCTTTTCTTATTTTTAAAAAATGGGCAATTATTGACTTTAGTATGTCAAAGTGATGTATGTCAAAATTAGTTATATTTTACAAAATTAAATAATTAGTCATTATAATTTAAAATGGTTATAAAACATGAAGAAATCGATCACTCAGAGTCGAAGACTCGGACCAATCAATATCTTCATGTTTTATAATAATTAAAATTGACCGACTGATAAAATCACTATTTTATATTATATAAGAATATTTTTACTGTAAATTATTCAAACTTACTTTCATTACTTCAATTCAATTATTGTTTTCCACAATTTTTAACTAAAATTCTTCTTTAAATTCATTATTTTTAATAATTAAATTTCGGAAATTCTTGAATTAAAAATATATTAGAAAATAAAAACTTCAAATAACTTGAAAAAATTCAATTAAACTTTTTAAAAAAAATTAAATCTACACAATTTTCAGTTAAAAGTATGAAAAATTCAAACATTTAAAGATTATGATTTGAAACCTTTTCAAAATTCAATTATTTATAAAAATTCACGCTGTAATACTTTCTCTCTAAATTTGAATTAGTAAAAATGTTTACTAATTGGAATTAATGACTGACCTTTTGCTGCTTTTGAATTAGTAAATTTTACTATTAAATTAGTAGAAACAACTATTTATTAGTAAAATCTGCTATTCAAAAGCAAAAAGTCAGTCACTAATTCAAATTAGAAACCTTTTTTACTAATTCAAATTTAGGGAGTTTAATATTCAACTATTATCTAAAATTTTAACTAAAGTTCATATTTAATTCAATTTTTATTACGAGCATTCAAAAATGTAAATACAAAAATAAATAATTTATTGAAGAATTGAATGTTTCTTAAAATTCAATTCCCATACAGAATTTTATCAACAGATTTTTAAATAGGTAATTAAAATTCTTTTCACGAATTGTAATAAAATTTTAAGAATAATTTCATTTTTCGAGAAATTCCATTAAAATTGTATTAAAAATAATTGGAATTCTGCGACGAGTTTTATTATTATTTAAGACGTAGAGTGTTTTCAGGACCTTAATTTTTGTCAAATAAAATTATTTATTTAAGAATTTAAGAAAATAATTGAAAAACTATAAAGTTTTTTATTATTTATGAAAGTAATTGAATCCCTTTAAAAAATTTGATTATTTATTTGGAATAGTAGGTAAAAAAAAAATTAAAATCAACTCGGATGTAAAAGCTTATTCAGTATTGATTATTTATGAAAATAATTGAATTATTGCGAAGAAATTTATAAAGAATTTTTAAATAATAGAATTCCTGTGAAATTTTTATTATTTAATTAATTTATTGAAAATTGAAATTTTACAGAATTTCAAATTGAAACCTTTTAAAGTTTACCTATTTATGAAAATTGTAAACGCAACTTTAAAAATTGAATTAATTTTGAAATATTTAAGAAAAACTAGATTTCAAGAATAAGCACAATAAGTAACTTTAGAAAATAATAATTTTCCAGGATTCCTGACTTTTCCAGGTTTTTCAGGTTGCGTGGCAACCCTGTAAATCTAATATATTTTTTCTTTCAGTAATTCGTAATTGTCTTCTTCCTTCATAATAGTAAATGACTATTTTTTTTTCTTGTTTTAGAAAGCCGAGTCAGTAAGAAGTGCACTTGAAATTTTAGTCGGTAAAGATCAGTTGGAGGGTATGACATGCAGTAAAACCAAACAACAGATTGAAGCTTGGAAGCAAGTTACATTAGAAGAGCTTCCTGTAATTCTTATTCTTCACCTAAAATGGTTTGATTATAAGCTTGACGGTTGTTCAAAAATACTTAAAAATGTCGAATTTCCTGTGGATTTAAAAATAGATCCAAGTAAGAATACACATTAAAAAGTAATTTAATTTGACGATAATAATATTGCGATTTAATCTATTCTAATAAAAATGATATTTCACACTTTTCAGAATTCTTATCACCAAATGCATCAAAGAAATTTTTAGCAAAACAAAAACAGTACAAGTTATTTGCCGTTACTTATCATGATGGGAAAGAAGCAACGAAAGGACATTATGTAACTGATGCTTTTCATGTTGGCTATGGAGGTTGGGTACGATATGATGATAGTTCGTTGAAAGGTATATCTGAAAATAATGTACTAAATCCTCAGCTTCCTAGAGTGCCCTATCTACTTTACTACAGAAGATGTGATACTATTGGGAATAATCAGTCAAATGTTGTTAAATCACGATAAGTAGATAATATATACAAGGCATATAGTTGAATATCTTTCTATTGTTTAAAAAACATTTAAAAGACGAAAAAGAAATGTGCATTTGACATTTTTTAAATTTACACCAATGTTTTTGTATTTAAAAATTGAACAGCAAATTATAATGTTATATTGTACCTAAAAGAAAAAAAGAATGTTATCTTGTATGTCATATTTTTCATTGTAACAAAGTTCTAACAAAAAGAATAATAATAATTAATAATATATACCTTATCATGAATGTTTCATGTTTAAAAATCAGAGAAATTTGACATTACACGCGAAAGCTGATATTATTGTGTGAATATAGATGACATTTAGATAAGAGTTGATTTGTTTGTGCTATAAAGTAATTTGAAAAATTTCTCACGAAAGTATTCGTAAAAACTACATATTTCAAAGTTGTTTTCATTTATAATTAACATACTTTGAATACATATAAAAAAAGAGTAAATGTAACAATTAATTGCTTTCGAAGATTAAGTAATATGCCGTATTGATAAATTCTTTTTCATCATAAAAAACTAATGTTTAAAGTAGTTTATACACAACAGATATGTGCGTGAATGTGTGTGTGTGTGTGTGTGTGTGTATGTATTGTGTGTACTGATGAGTGATTTCGCAAAGTTACATTGAAAAAGATAGTTTGCAAATGTTTGCTATTAAATATATTTGGAAATATTATAATTAAAAATGTACGTCCTACATAATTTTGAAAAGTTCATCTCTCTAATTATAACATTTCAGTATCTGATTTTCAGGTTTTTAATGAAATTTTAATAGTATGTATTTGTAGAATTTATTTTGTATCTTGAATTTTGTGTTTTAAGAATTAAACTACATTGATCGCATATAATAACACACCGTTCATTTTTCTCCACATTACATTACGGATAGTGTTAATTACAATGTTTCATTCCTCCATAAAACTGATCATATTATGTATTTATGATTATTTAGCTGTTTATGTAAAATATAAAAAGTTACTGATAGTCGTGGTTTTAAAAGTAAAATATTGAAATAATATTTCATTCTTTTGGATTATACTTGATATACTTATTTTCTAATGTCATAAAAAGTTTCATAAAAGACGTTCTTCTTGTTATACCTATACAGTTGCACATTAAACATTCTTGTAGAATTGACAATTATGGTTGATATGTAATAATAATTTCTTAAGGTTAGGATATATAAAAATATTATTCGTCATTTTAAAGTGAAATATATAATAATTAATATAGTTGAAGAAAATATTTCTCATGATGAGGTTTAATAAATTCTACGCATACAATTGGGAAAAGATGAGTCTGAATAATGCATTTTATTTATAACATAAAATTAAACTTGAAACTAATACTGTTGTATTTTGTCACGCAGATGTCAATTAAACAAATAATTTTCAAATCACAATCTTATATTGTTTAATGCACTAGGTAGGATCTACATTTTAATAAAAGAAGATTCATCATACCGATACTGAGAAATTTTATACTTGAAAATTTTTGAAATTTAGATTTCATTCTTTTGAAATGAATTAATGATTATACATAATGTGGAATACTGAATACTTGATAATTATAGTAAAGTATAATTCAAAATACTGATTATATGCCATACGACTAAAAGTTCCAGTAGGTAAATACAATATTTTTTCTTTATTTATAATCAAATATTTATTTAAGTATATAGATACATAAAATTATATATTTACAATAGTATTCTATATTTACAATGAAATGCTTAATATTTAAAAAATAAATAAACACATAAATTATCAATTGTTAAATTAATTATACTACATAGGTAGGTATTATAAAAAGGCATTTAATTTGTAAAAAAAAATTAATGCAGTTTAAAATTTTTAAAAACGATCATCTACTGTGATCGAAACAATATAATGTAAATTTTAAATCCATTGTACTATGTATACCTATATTATTTAATATTAAAATTTTCTAATAATTTGGTATGTTTAAGTATTTTGAAATTACTTATTTATATACATAATACTTATTGGGAAGATTGTTAAAAATAAAGCTAAAAGTGTGGTAAACATACTTTTCCAGCAAATAATTCTGAAATGACTGTAATCCATAAAGCTAAAACAAACAATATATATGAAATTCCAACCTGATGAGAGTTTGGCAATTGATATGGCTGACCACCAATTTGGTCTATATGGAAGCCCATAGGAAATATTACAGCAGCGAAACAAAATAAAACCACTGAAAGAAATTGTTGATTATGTAATTTTTTTTAAGTAACAGGTGTAAGTTGCATTGTGTAAAACTTACTTGCAGTAAATCCAACCCAGCGTGCGTATGGAATAACATTTCTATCCCAATGGGAACTTGCTAAAAGTATTACAGTTGTAGTTATCAAAATACAACCAACAAATATGCAAACTAAAGCCATTAACCATTCAGGCTGTAAATCTGGTGTATAACACACTTGTGGTCTATTGTAAAGAGTCATACATGACCACATTAATCCCAGTCTTGTATCGCCTAAGTAAATAAAAATTTTACTAAAATAACAACAACATTTTTTATATTTCAAAATGAACAAAACGAACATTTTTTTTTTACTCGACTTGAGAATAACAATAAAAAACATTATATTTACCCCCAACATCGGTTATAATCCAATCAGGCATGGCAAGACTCACTATTGCAAACATATCAGCTGCCAAAAATAATGTACCAGAGATTAAAGTTAATTTATCCATTGCTATCGTCAGTTACAATGTTAAACTTGAAACATTATTGAAATATTTCCTTTTCTTCTTTTTCTTCTTATACAGTCTTTATTATTAATTTCTTTAAGAAATTCAGGAAAGACATTCTTGTTGTTACAATTTCAGATTAAAGGTGCTTACATACCTACCTATATTATTATCAAACTAAGGTCGAGTTCACAATAGACAAATATTTCTTAATAGTCGTCTGTCTGCGCTCAGCCCAACTCAGCCGCTCAGGGTGCAATCCCATGTGAGCAGAATACGTCGACCGAAAGCAGAAAATCATGAGTGCAAAAGAGATAGGTAGATATTGTTGTTCTTTTCACTCTCATAATTTTCTGCTTTCGGTCGACGTATTCTGCTCACATGGGATCGCACCCTTACACTGTGACATTAAGGGAGCGTTCAGACCATGATCCAAGTAACAAGGTCTCGCCAAAGTCGGGCTCAATTTTAACTCGGTTCGCGCACCATAAAAAAGCCGACCAATCATAGCGATTACCTGAAGCGACGACCATATTGAAGCGCTAAATTTTGAATCAAATACAGAAACAAATTTAAAGAACATAAAGAATAATAAATTAAAAGTAAAATAATTCTTTATTAAATATTAATATTTTTTATTAAATACTTATTATTAACTTGATACATAACATTCACATATATTTATTTATATATTTAAAAACATTACATTTATCTCTAATGCTGCAAGAACTGAAGGGACAATTTCTTTTCAATTTTCAGTGGATAAATGATGAGATAAATTTTGAGCCAGATTAACTAAGACAACCTTTTTTTATTTTTTGTATGTGTTTATATTTTCTCTCTTTAATAAAAAATTAAACTAAAAGAATTATGCAGTCACAAATATACAGTCACATATTATTATTATGCATATCACTTTTAACTTTCAATATATATACTGAGACGAAACTCCAGTAAGGACTAAACTGCTGCGTGGCACAGATTCACTTCGGTACAGAATTTAAATCATTAAAAGGTGATTAGTTGGCCACGTTTCTAGGTGAATCAGAGTATTTTCACTCTATTTTCACCTGGAAAACCTTAAAAATTTAGGGAATATTATAAATCTGAAAGAAACCTGGAAGAGCCAGTGAATGTTGCTTGGAATCTTGAAAATCAAATTACTATTTATTGCAATATTTATTATTATTATTAATAACTTTATATTTATTAATATTAATACTAATTAAAAATAATAATTATTATTAAAAATAAAATAACATTCATAATAATTTATTAATATTAATTACCATTTATTGTAATATTTATTATTATTATTATCAATAATTTTATACGTATTAATATTAATAATAACAATTAATAATATTTATTATTAAAAATAAAAATATATTAATAACAATAACAATCTTATTTTCTGGATTTGAAACACATTTAAAAATACGCGGCTAGACTTTCAATATGGTCGTCACTTCGTCCGCATTCTGATTGGTGCTTGGTTCCACGTTTTTTTTGCCTGCGCGTGGCGAGACCTTGTTACTTGGATCATGGTTCAGACCCCCGCATGCAAAACTTTTGCTTGCAGGCAGGTTGCCATAGTAGGGCAGAATCATTTTATCAAATGTTGAGAAATTTAATTATTTTAGGTATTTTATGTATATTATTATTGTCAAAAAATTCCAATTCTCAAAAATTAGAGCAAAGTTATAAAAACAATATGACAGGAATACATTCTGTTGCTTATGTCACAGTACCAACAATAGAAATTGCCAAGAAATTGGCTCAGTAAGTATATATGAAAATGAAAAACATATTTTTAATACCATATATTGAAAATAATAAAAATTTTAATATTATGATTTTTAGTGGAATAGTTAAAGGTAAATTGGCAGCCTGTGTAAACATAATACCTCAAATAACGTCTGTGTAAGTATCTTTATTAAAATTTTAATGATATTTTCACCCAGAATAGTGAACTTTTTTATTAATAAATTGTTATTTACAAGCATTACAATATTAATGTTAATTTTTCATATATAATTTCAGTTACGAGTGGAAGAATGAAATCAAAGAAGATGATGAATTGTTATTGGCAAGTAACATTATTTTTTTCAATTTTTCAAAGAAATATATTCCATCCAAGCAGGAAAAAAAACCGCATATTATTGTACTACCTATATATTATCTAAATTGAACAAAAATAAGACTGGAAGTTCAAAGTTTCTTTTTTTACAGATGATAAAAACAAGAACGGAAACTATCGATGCTCTTACCAAGTACGTAAAGTGAGTAAAAATATTATAGAATGATTAGAATTTAAGCGTATTTACAAGTTATTTATATATCAAATAACATTTGTCGATTGGTTATTTCCTTTAGAGAAAATCATCCGTATGAAGTGTGTGAAGTTATATCATTACCTGTAAGTAATAATTTTTAAAAACTAATTTAAATCTTTACTCTCTAAATCTGATTAAGTTAAAAGTCTTCCTTGTAAAAAAATAAGTGCTTACACACTTGATATTTTTTTGTTTAAATACTGCATGCATAACTTGTGTATACAGGTTGCCATGGTACCGTTCAAGAGTGAGAGAGATGAAAATAATTTCCCATTTCTCTCTCACTCTTGAACGCTACCATGGCAACCTGAATGCACCATAAGGGATGATATATAATATTATATAATAGGTCTTCTTTCTTTTAGATTCAGAATGGAAACAAGCAGTATTTGGACTGGATAAGTGAAATTGTACCGAAATCTTCAAAGTAAGGACAAACTAAATTAGAAGATTTTAATCTTAATCATCAAAATATTTTGCAGACTTTAAATTTATCTCTTTATTTCTCTATTATATAATTCATATATATATTTTTCACATTTGGTTCACAACCATGAAAACCATATTTCAAATAATTAGCAAATACAATAATCATGTTTACAAACATTAATTGTATCTTTTATGTTTATAATAAAAAATTTTAAAAAGAATAACTTATTTATACATGAAAGTTTTCGAACCGTACGGCTGGAGTCCCATGACAGCGTTTTGCGTTGCGTTTTGTAACTAGGCAATGAGTGCAAATATAGCAAACATATATTTTCATCTCTCTCACACTCATGGCCTAGTTACAAAACGCAACGCAATACGCTGCCATGGGACTCCACCCTAAGAATGGAAAGTTAGAAAAGGGCAAAGATATAATAATAATAGAGCTGACCGAACATTAAGCCGAGTTCATTATGCTAAGCATTGTAGTATGTATGGAACCTATTGTAGAATGAGCTTAAAAAAGGTAAAGAAGAAGAAGAAGAAGAAGAAATTTTTTGTGTGTATTTGTATACTATTGTGATGATATTACAAAATGGCTGCAGAAATTTATTCGACATAGATTAAATGTGCTTGGTGTACTTTGAAAATACGTTTAAATATATTTTCACATTTTTCATGGGTGAAACGCGGTAAGTTTTACAATAACGCATCCCATTAAGTATGTAGAAATTTAAATTATGAGTTGGGTGTTTCGTCCTCATGATGTTTTGAAAAAATATATTTTACAAGCCGGGCTTTTATATATGACATTATGTTTCATTTTTTCTTCTATTGAGGAATTTAAACTTTTTGTTATCGTCTTGTATTCTTGATTAATTGTATATAATGTTGTGTTTTTAAACTTTTTGTAATATCGTTTTTATTTGAACAGAAAGATATATTGAAAACACATTTTGTTCTATATGACGCATACCATTTGGAAACGAAATCGATTTAACTCAATATCAAACCTTTTGTGCTTTGTTAATCCTGTACTTTTGTTAATATTCATCTCTCTCAAAGCAAAACGAATAACTTCTTTTTAACATTATCTTTATAATTTTAATGTTATAATTTAATAATTTACATATAATGTTTATCCAATATATTTATATAAAAATTTACTGAATTTTCTAGAGAAATTATTCCTCATCACATTTTAAATAATATAGTATCAATGATTAATAGTAAAAAAAAAAAAAAGAAGAAAATATCTTGATTTATATCATTATTGTAATTTCTTAGTGTTGTAAGATTCGGTAAGATTGAATTTTTAGTTTTTTCGATGAAATTTTCCTATCGGAAAATAACTTTTTCTGTTACTCTGGTGTATATATATGTGTTGTAAAGTTAAATTCTTAACTTTGCTTCAAGCGAACGTAAGTTTTGTTTTTGTGACACTAGTGTTTCCAGAGACTGACATTATTAAAATAACTACATTCAATTAATTGGTAAGTAGCTGGAGAAATGTGGTTTATTTCCAGCGATCTTTTTAAGAGACAACTTGTATCGTGTTTCATTTCCTTCACACACACTCATTCTCTCTTTAAAATAAAAAGATAGAAATATTGATAATTGCGAAATATCAGTTGCAATTCGAGTTGCCAAATACATAATATAGCATTCTCATAAAGCTCTCTTTATGAGCTTTATGTATATTATAGAGATGTTGCAAGTTTATTACTATTGTAATGAAACATCAAGTTTTTAGTACGTTGTTCTAAAATGCTGGTTAGTGATTTTGTTCAATGTCTGTGGTTAGAAATATTCTCAAATAGGTAGTAAAATTTACAGTGATGTAAATTTAAAAAAAAATTATACAAATTTTGTCTATTTTTTGTTTATTGAAATGATGATGGTAAGTAAGTAGAAAAAATTGTGGTTAACTCCGTTATCAGCGTTAACATTTTTTTTGTAAAACAGTCCCGAATCAAATAATTATATTTTCTTTTTCTAAAAATTTACGTGGATTATATTTTTTGCAGATAAGATTGTATTGATACTGAAAAATTTGAGGATTCACAATGCAGAACTTTGATGATCTTGACATTGAGGGGAGAAATCCAAGCCACCAGTCTGAAGAGGAAAGAGAAAAGGTAAAACAATAATAAAACAAGTTTACTTATTTTTTTAATACCTAATATAATATTTTTCAAGTATTAGCTTCATTTAAAAGTTAAAGTTGAAATAATTTTTTCTTTGAAACGATCCTTACCAAAAGTGCAAAAGAAAATAAGAATTAAAATCTCTTATCTTTTCAGAGATTAGAATTAATAATAAGATAATAAAAAAGATGTTTATTTAATAATAGCATAGAAATATTTTTAATGTATCTCTAAGAGAAATATAGTTTACTAATTTGACTAATGATAACCAAAACTAAGACAAGAATGAAACTAAAATTTGTCTAATTGAACAGTCTTTAATTTTTGCTTTCTTAAAATATTTCTCTTACCTTTTCCTAGAATTAAAAAAATAGTTTATCGTGTCTTTTTATTCATAAAAGTACAACTATAAAACCATGTTAAAAAATTAAATTTTTTTCCATATGTAAAAATGAATTTAATTTTTTTAAAAAACCTTTACATCTTATATTTTTAATTAAAAAATTTTATGTGAAATTGTTTGATCAAATATCATCTTAAAATGTACAATTTTAATAATAATAATTACTATTAACTGAAACATATATAGAAATATTACAATCATTAAGCGAATTATTGACATAAATATAATAAACATTTAGTATTTATAATTTATCGACATGTATAAAATTTTACATTTATAAAGTAATAAATTCAACTATTGCTTCTAATTCCTATGGAGTAATTAATTTTCTGATATGCATCACTTTTACTTACTATTTACAGGTGAAATTGATACGTCTAAATGAAATATCTTTGCTTACTTTTCAGCAATTTTTTTTCGTTTCAAATAATTGTCAGTAATTTATTGTATAATCATTAATTATATAAAAAACATTTCAACAAAATTTATTCTTGACTTAATTTCAAGAAACAATTTTACAACTTTTTTGTCAATTTTTAATAATATATAATATGAAGAAAAAAAACGGGTCAGTGTAATTTTCTAAAGAAGTGATTTATTGAATATTATTTTGATCTAGTGAATAAGTGAAATAAAAATTTACGGATGATTCAACAAATAATTTCACCACTTTGCAGTAAGTTTGTTTGAAAATAATGACTACCACAGTTGGCATTATTTTCTACTTGAGAAACATGGGTGTTGGAGTTTAAGTTGTTGAATGTTGTGTGTGCTTCAAACGACAAATGAGAATATTCATTCACGTATTCTTTTCTCTAATTTTCCATGTAAGAAAAAAATTATAAATTGAATAGTTGATTTGTAAAAGTGAATGTAGAAACTAAAAGTGACTCCACATTTCATTTATAGTGAATGTTTTTATTTATCACTTTTCTTTTCTTATATCCTTAATAATAATATGTATCAGCAGAGCATCATAGACCATATATACACTTGAAATAAAATGAGCTGATTAATTTAAAATATATTATACATATAGGAAAAATGTTTTGAAATAATGTTAAATTGTTATTTATTTATTTTTTTCTAAAGGAGGAACATGATCGCAAGCGATTGATGAGAACGAGCGTGACTGCCGAGGATGGAACTTTAAGACCAGTATATTCCGAAACTGATGATGGTGACATTTGGTGTCATATTTGTAATGTAGCTCTCTTTGGAGCTCACAAGTTACTCAGTCACAATATCTGCAATCGTCATAAAATTAAATTAGACGAATGGCCATATCCCGTATTGTTGTGGTCAAAAAAATCGGACACATTGAATAAATGTGTAATTAAACCTAACCCAGGATCTTTAGCACCAGGAGAGCCACTTCCTCCAGGAATGGAAGATCAGATTGTAAGGAACACGAGCATACAAGTCAGCCTGGACCGTCATCGTAGTTCACCTCTTGTTGGTTTAGAATATCTACTCGAATTGGTAGATAACGATAGTTGTGAGCCAAGTTACACATGTGTTTTGTGTGATAAGCGAGGAGATCCACGAACAGTAATGGCACATATCACCAGTTACAATCATCGTATGGCTTATTTGAACAGGCATTTCCCTACGATTTCACGGGCAATTATGGAGTTGCCCCGCACGCCGAACTACAAACGCGGAGCAAATGAGATTTTGGTGTTGGTTGCAAAGAAAATTGAAGAGCAATTGGGTAGACTGCAACCTCAGTTGGTGGACAAGGGTCAATTTGAAAAGAACAAGATGCAGTTTATTAAAAAAGTCTATCAGGACTATCACTTTAGGTAAGTTTAAAGTGTAATTCAAAGCAAATTATATTTTTTTCAACTTTTTATATTTCAATTATATAATTCATTTTTTGGAATATATATAGCAGTAATATTTCACTTTTGTATTTATCGTTGGTCGTGTTTCCTACGTGTGTGTGCAGGGAAACGCCCGAGTTTACGTTAATGGAAATTTACGATGTGCGATGGGTGACGAATTTTGAAGAAAAGATGGCAGAAGTTTTGAAAGAGACAAAAAAAGGTGAGTATTATTATTATTACAGAATCTGAAATATTTATTTTGATTATTTTTTTCCTTTTTATAATGGTGTCTGCAATATATACATATATATTTTTTGTTTCTTCCCGAAGAAGATCCACAACTTGAAGATAATAATAAGGTTCTAGAAGAGGTGGAAAAGTTGGAAGAGTTGGAGAAGGAAAAAGGGAAAGAATTGGAGAGGGAGAGAGAAAAGGAAATAAGAGGAGGAGGGGGAGAGAAGGAAAAGGAAAAAATAAAACTTAAGGAAAGAGGAGGAGGAGGAGAGAAGGAAAAAGAAAAAAGAAGAAGTGATGGCTACAGAGATGGAAAAGAGAGAGAATTGAAAAAAAGAGAATCCAGGTCTGACTACAATAAGGAGAGCAAGTAAGTATATAGTGATCATAAAAAAGAAATTTTTTTATCTATATTAATTTCAACAAGATATTTTTCAGCGAAAACAATTTATATTTAACAATTCAAGATTAAAATTGAAATGAAAAAAAAAAAATTTCCATAAAAAAACAAAATTTCACCATGAATTTTACCTTTAATTCAAATTTATAATCTTTTTTAATATGTTTCTCATTTAATTAATTATTTTAATCAAGTTTATAATTATTTGATGAATCTAAACTTTTGGAAATGATGATTGTTTTGTAGGAATTACAAAATTCGAATATTGACCAAGGACAAGATCAACAAAAAAGTAGAGAAATCACCGCTCAAAGAGAAATTGTTGTCGAGCAAGCCAGATGATTTAAGATCTCTATCATCGTTGTCGAGTATTTCCAGTAGTCCATCACCAGTTCGCTCAAGATCTCGTGAACGTTCGCGTAGTCGCGGTAGGTCAAATGCCTTTGATAAAGGTTACAGCAAATCACGGCGCGTTAATCGTCCACGATCACGTGGTCGTTCACGTTCACGTTCAGTTGAATTAGTTCGGGAGCGCGATAAATGGGACAAATACAAAGAGCAGATCAGGCGAGCCGAGGAAACACTGGAGAGAGCATTGAAGTTTCATGAAAAAAATCCCGAGAAACATCCCGCTTATCCAGACGAGTGGAAGAAATTTTGGAATCGTCGATACAAGGAACTGCAATCGGAAGGTAAAGATCCAAGTAAACACGACTTTAAGCCCGAATGGATTGAATTTTGGAATAAGCGAATGCGCGAGCTGCATAACGAACAAGTGAATCAACGTAAGGAAGAAATACGTAAAAGACTCGAACTTCCTGAGGAGAAACCGACGACGGCGACGACTACGACGACTACGACGACAGAAAAACAACATACTGCAACAACAAGCACATCGAGGAAAAATAAGGAAAGATCACCGAGTCCCAAGCGTCGACATCAAGAGAGTGATGACGAAGTTGAATACGTAGGGACAATGAAGATTAGGCCTGATTTTCATGATCGTTATGATATTGTCAGGGAGAGAGAAAGAGATCGAGAGCGTGAACGTGAACGTGAGAGGGAAAGAGAGAGAGAACGTGAGAGGGATCGCGAGAAGGATCGCGAGAGAGAAAGAGAGCGCGTGAGGGATAGAGAATTGGAGAGGGACCGAGAAAGAGATTACTATGTTTCTTATTCCAGAGGCCGAGGGTATAGACCACCTGCTATTCCACCGTATTATGGACCTCCTAGAATCGCGACAACCAGACCGAGATATCATTCATCCCCTTATCCACCAGCTGAAAAATCACCTAGTCCCGTTAAGGAAGAGATTCTCAGTGAAGATCTCGAAATTGTTGGATTACTTCGTCTGCTCACTGCTCTTGAGGGACAGTTGGGCTCATTAGGTCCCAAAATTGTTTCTCTTTTATCGAAAGCATTAGCGGCAGAGAAAGTGAAACCAAATTCTGCAGAGGAATTGCTCTACGATGAAGAAGTCAGCGTCATGTTTGAAACTGTAAAAGAAAAATTGAAGGGTCAACTTTTTGCAGGAATGATTGAAAAAATGGCGATTGCTCCGACTAAAACGGCGATTCAAAATATCGCTCAACTTTTACATAAGGCAGCCGAAAACAAAAAGAAACTCGAGGAGGAAAAGAGAAAGCAAAAGGAGCTTTTGGAACTCTCTAAATCCATGAATATCTTTAACAGATCCTATCCCCGGCTCACAGATATGAAAACAACAACTCTCAAGTCGGAACCCGTCAGCGTTCCTGGCGTCGGCGCTATTGATAAAATTGCCATCGCGCAACAAATTGCCGCAGCATTAGTTGCTCAAGGTAGATCGAACGTCTCACAAGAAGAACTCGAGACATTAATCAATGCTGTTGTTGGAATGGCGGAAGCTTCGAAACAAAGTAATAAGCCCGTAACTACCGCTGACTTTGTGAAAGGCTTGACAACTACCGACTCAGCCTCTCCTGCACAAGATTCCCCTCCACCTCCGCCTCGAGCTCCTAGTCCTGCACCACCGATTGCCGTTAAAAAAATTGCCGTTGAAAAATCTGTCGAGTCTCAAGCCAAAAAAATGGAGAGTTTGTCAGATGAAGATCTTAAAGCTCTATTACAGAACTTTAAGGAATTGGGAACTGAGGAACAACACGGTCTTATAAGTTTTCTAAAAAAGTTGGAAGCCACCGATCTTGCTCGTGTCGAGAAGCTTCGTGCTTATGTCAATCTGGGAGCACCACCTTCATCCTCGTCGACAAAATCCAAAGAGAAAAGTCTCACTCCTGAAATTGAGACTAATGTCAAAGGCCGCAGAAGCATTTCACCTTTCTCGACTCGAAAGGGCAATCAAAATCCACCCGACGATGAGAACAAGTGGAAGCCAAAATTGGACATGTTTGCTGCTGACGAGGAAACAACAAAGAATCATGACGATAAGAGGAAACTCGAATTTTCAGACGATGATGATGATGATTATACCTTTGAAGATATCTACAAAGCAGCTGATAAAAATGTCAATGAAAATCAGAAGGCAAAATGTTCAAGATCACGATCAAATTCACCGAGGTCTTGGTCAAATCAGAGATCGATATCAAGGTCCAGATCTAGATCACCAGTTAAAATTAAAGAACCCCCCAAGACCAGTGATCCAAATGCGATTTTGAATGAGACAAAACGATTAATTGCAAATATTATGGGTGATTTGCCCAATAAATATTCTTCGCATATGACGTCAAACAATGAAGGACAATCATCACCAAACCCTGGGAAAAATAATTCTGATGACGGAGGTCCGTATAGCCATAATTATGGACGTAATTTGACTCAAGTAAATTCTATCGGCTGCGGCGGCGGCGGCGGCACCGGTTCATCTTTAAATCCACCAAGTAATTATCCACCAATGAATCAATTTTCAAATTATCCAGCACAATCCACAATGTTTAATTCAAATCAAGGCTACATGAACAATGGATACAGTAATTATAATCAAGGCTTTCCTCCAAATCCAAACCAATTTGGTGTTGGTGGAGGTGGTGGTCCCCCGAATCAGTATTCACAACAGTCTTCTTATGGTCAAAATCAATTTTCTGGACCACCTGGAATTGGTCCACCTGGATATCCTCCTCAACAATTCAATAATTATCCTCAACAGCAGCGATTTTATTAATTTTTTCAGTAATTTTAATAAAGTAAGCAGGGGCTGTGAAAACTTGGCTGGAGAATTTCGCAAATCAATTAACATAAATAGTTTCACTTACGTGATGAGTATTTCGTTTGGAATAATCAATTTTCTTTGGTTTATAAATATTAATTTCGCAATTTAAGAAATTTCTTTTCTTATGTATAACATTGAAACAATTCATATTCAACAAACGCTCAATTATGTAACCGCAAATTATTTCTATTATCCGCTATAATTTTTTTATATTGTTAATATATGCATTTTTTCAATTAGTTAAATTGTCAGTTTTTATTATATTTAAAATTAAAACCGATCGTAAGAGAAACAATAAGTACAACAGAAGGAAATGCTACAATAAATTTAGTACTAATTTTGGATTTGTTAAAAATAATACCCCAGCATGTATTCCAAGAAAAATGTTTCCATTAAAATTTCAAATTTTCCAACATGTTAATTTTGATTTTATTTGGATAAAAGTTTACATGAAAATTGTGCATCGTTATTTTTTGTGATAATCATATAATCTGAATTATTGTCATTTTCATTTATTTCTAACAGCATTATTTGTGAAATTTTCTATTACCAAGTGAAAAAATCAACTTTTTTTCTCTCGAATTAAAAGAAAATTATTAAAATATTTTGTTTTATAAAATTAGTTACAAATGAGGTGGTTTTTTCTTTTTTTAACTTTTTGTCAACTGTGCTGATACTTCAAATCTACAGAAATGTATAAGAATTATTACGAAAATAAAAATAATTAAACCAATAAAAAAAAAATACAAGATGACAAATTTTTACACTAATTTTAAGAAAGAATTTTTCACAGTTTCATTCACGATAAAGTTTGTATGAAAAAATTTGGTCACTTTACAAGCGACTTTGATTGTATGTAAGTATTTTTTTCTTTTCTTTTTTTTTATATTACGAAAATTACCTTAATTGTATAAATATTCGCTTCTTGTGAGTCAAAATATTGTATCTTTCAAATTATAAGAATTATTTAAAATTTGTATCTAAACATTCTATTTTTACATAATTATTACGGTTTTAGATTCAGAATGTAATTAGATTTGTTTAGTGTGTATAAATAAATAAAACAATAAGTAAATAAGTAATGAGAATTGAGACTTTTGGCAATGTATACTAAAACTATTTGTTATTAATTCTATACATATTTTTTGGGCTAAAATTAAAAATGCTTTATTTCACATCATTATCTTTGATAAAATGGAACAAATTTTAAACAAATAAAATTTACATTCTTATAGAAAAAACTTAATTTTCTTTGTTGGATTACTCTTCTATTTTATTTGTTTAAAATCTTTTAAAAATAAAATTTCGATAAAAAATGTAGTAGCCTATATCTATATATATATATATGTATAAGTTGAAAGTGCAAGTACTGTGAACTTTTTTTTATTAAATTATAATTATAAGATGAAATAATAATTATTATTGTAAATTTTAAAGAATTTTCAACAATATTTCGACTTATTTTTATTGTATTCGTGATAAATGATTATTATACATTATCAAAGAACACTATTAAAAATTGTACTTTTTTAATTTTTCAAGAATACAATTTCTATTCAAGTCTATTATTTTCAATTCAAGTTTTTTTTTCATGAATATTATAAATTAATGATTAGAAGGATTTAGTTAATTTTCATTATCGCAGTTAAAAACTTGATTGAAATATTTTATTGATAAAAATTTTTAATTTTCTTTAATATGTATTATACATAACATTTTTTGTAAATGTGATTATTAAAAAATACACAAAATTTTTTAAAATAGACTATTAATTTATTGATTTGTTTTTGCTAAGTTGATCTTTTGAATCCTTAATTTTTGAATGAAAGAAATGAAAATATTGAAGGACTATTAAAAATAATAGTCTTTATGGAAAATAAAAATTTCTTACTTTATTATAAATTTTTTTTTGCAATTGTCAGGTGTTCATTTTTGTGATTTAATTATTAATTGAAAATTTGGATAAATGTTATAAATAAATTTAAAGAATTAAATTTTTTCTCGGGAAAGTAAAAGAAAAAATAACTCAATACAATGTCATTTAAAGTTTATTTCAACAATTACGTTCAATGGTTGACACCAAATATATTTTAAAATAAGCTTGTTGACTAGAAAGCAGTTAACATTTCAGTCTAAATAATCATACATCATTCGCCGCCGCATTCGTGTCTGAAAGTTTTATCAAAATATCACAAATAAGAAAAAGAAGAAGAAGAAGAAGAAGAAGAAGAAAGGAACAAACTACAATTAGTCTAACTGAAAAAATTCAAGTCTATTCTTATTTACAAAAGAGTTTCATTTTTTAGTGAAAGTAGATGGGCGAAGTACTGTGCTAACTATTTAGGTACTAATCCTCTAGTCTTTGGATAAATTTGAGCTGACATTTGTTGATAAACTGGTGTCGGAATTTGTTGCATTTTTCCAACACTTTTAGGCCGAATCCTTGTTGCCGATTGTAATCGAGTTTTTGATCTTAATTTAACATTCGATGCATCAACATCTATATCACCTTCATCTCGCAAAGCTTCTTCCAAAACAGCCTGAATAGTTGGAGCAATAGCTGGTCCCTGATACTCTAGAGTGGTTCTTGCAGGCATGTCAAGTTCCAAATTCAAAATGTTTTCTCCTGCATAACGATGACCTTTACCCATTGCAAGAGCAAGTTTCGCATGCTCAGTAATAGGACGTCTACCTCCAGGAATTGAAATCGGTCGCTTAATCAATTCGACACTCGATGGCTCAATGGTTTCCTTTAAAATCCAACAATCCTCGTCTTCGTCAAATTGAACTCTTGACAAAATTTTGTGTTTCTCTTCCACTGGAATGAAATTATCAATAATGAGATACTTGAGTTTCAATTCCTTCATTAATTCGTGTTGTGTTTGCTCAAGATCTCGTCTATCTCTATTATATTCATTTGTCACATCGTCAAGATCCTGTTTAAGACCTTGTAATTTAGCGAAGCATTTCCTTAGTTTTCTCGACTTGACATCGACCTCCTGTTGAAGAGTCGTATATGTTTCCTTGACACCCATAGTCGTCACTTCCTCGTCGTCGAGCTTTTGTTGCATTTCCACCTCTCGCTTCTTTCGCTCGGCAATTTCAACAGCGCGTTGCTCTAAAGCTCTTTGCTGTTCATTTGTATGATCAATAATATTCTTCCCACCACAGAGCATTTTACTCTCGAGATCTCCAATTCTTTGTACCAAATTCTCCGTCTCTTGCTTTTCTGCTTTTAATTGTTCTGAAATTTGCTTTTTGTCTGCTTCTGAAATTTTATTATCATCCCTACTGTTGTCCTCTGTTTCTGACTCGGACTCTAAATCATCCTCTTTCCTCTTTTTTGGTAGCTTCTTCTTTTTCTTTTTACTTTGGACGGCGGCGGCGGCGGCGGTTCCCTTTTGAGCAAGCTTTTCCTTCAGACGACTAATCTCTTCTTGATATTGTCTTAATAGAGCGTCCTTGGCATCCTCATTTATTCGCGGCTTATTCTTGATATTCTTTGCTCGATTTGCATAGCGTAAAGTTGTCAATGTTTCATCGTAGTTGTAACTCGCGGGTCCAATGTTGGCCACCATAATTGTTTTTGAGTTACCACCTAGGGAATCTTGAAGTAGTCGAGTTAACTTTGAGTCCCTGTAGGGCACGTGCGTTGTTTTTCCATCGACAAGAGCAGAAATCACGTTACCCAAAGCAGATAAACTCAAGTTAATTTTGCTTGCTTCCTTCAGTCTCTCACCTGATGATCCAGTTTTACTTTGCCTTTCGCTTCCAGCCAAATCAACAAGATTTAAACGACCCACACGAATCCCACCATTGTCAGCTAAAGAACCCATTTCTATCGTGATGATGAAAATTGCGTGAGATCGAGAACTATGTTCATTCATATTTGTTGCACCGATTGTTCTGTTTTGATTGCCAGTATTCATTAAATGTTGAATTTCCGCAGCACTCTTACAAACTGCTGACGAGAGATCTTTAACAAATATACCAGTGTCGGGTCTTTCCTTTAATTCGAATCGCAAACTCTGATCAACATGCAATAAATCACGAATTTCTTCCTGATAAATCTCCAAATAACTTGCTCTTACGAGGTATTGCATATTTTCCGATCTGCTAATATGACTGAAAATATGTTCGAAAGAACGAGGAATTATACCACGTTTCTTTGCCTCAATTTTTGAACCCTCCATTGTGTAGGTTTTGCCAGTTCCAGTCTGACCATAGGCAAAAATTGTCCCATTAAAACCGTCAAGAACTGATGATACCAATGGCCTCACTGTTTCCTCGTAAAGGTCCTGCTGACTTGACTGACCATCGTACACGGCGTCGAATGTGAAAACCTTGATATTGTCACGTGATGAAGGATCTTCTCGAGGATTACGTATTTCCACAACTCCACGAGACGGTACAACATCGACAACACGAGAAAAACCACGAGCACTCTCCTTCTCGTCCATTGGACGACAACGAACAACAACTTGAACGCATTGGGTGCCTCCATCGGAAGATATTAGAGATCTTGATGTTCTTTTCTTTGAGATTTTCAGCTGATTATCGCTTTTATCGCTTTTTTCCATTGTTACCAATAATGACGACACGTTTTCTTCCTAAATAGAGAAAACAATATATTTATGAATAAATATAACTCTTTCCAGTACACGTTATAAATGGTAGGTATATAATTCATACTAAAAAAAAAATAAAAGTTTTATTTACCTGCTACTTTAATATTACAAGGTTATTTAGCTTTTAAAACAATTAATAACCAACAATTTAAATTTTGCTAATGTCATCGGTGGACGATTCCATTAGAATTGACACTTTGTATTTTATATGAAAAAGTAAGACACGTGAATTTATGGTTCTACTTTTTTTTAAATATAAACAATTATTGATTTTTTCATGCAGTCTAAATATTGATGACCAATATTATCAATAAATTTCTATATTACTTGTTATTTTCTCAAAAATAAAAATTTTATCAATATATTTTAATTTCGTAAATTATTAGGTACATTACACCATTGAACATTTGAGAGAGATATTGGTGAAAAAATATGAAAACAGATGACATATACGAATAAAAAGCCGGCTAAATTATTTGGAAAAAATTAGAAATTTCAATTTCATATACAGAGAATATTTTAATAAACATAAAAGATTCTTTGGAAAGTTATCATTTGAAAATTTAATCTTTTATCGTGGAAAAGGTGTTACGGAACAATAAAAAGAAGGTTGAATATTTGCCGTGCCTGGTGGTGGTGGTGGTGGTGGTTACCCTCCTCCGCAAGGTATTGGTATTGATCCATTGTTTGGCTTCAGAGAAATGTCTTGGCGTTGTATAATAAATTTATTATTTAATATTTTACTATTTTTTCTTCCTCTGCAACAGAGAAAGTGAAATCGTTACAGCTGTATCCCTCAGCAATTATCTCCAACTTTATAATGAATAAATTGATCACAAAAATACAACAGGCTTGTTGTTGGCGAAAATACAGACACATCACATCACCGCATTTTTTTGACAAGTATAAAAAAAACATTTGCCTGCATCGAGTATGCGCACTGAAGTTGAAACCAGTTGAAAACATCGTCATGCACATTATGCAATAAAGGAAACTATTGCTTAGTTCCGGTCATGACCGGTAAAACACAATTTTCAAATTGATTATAAAACGTTTGGATGTAAATGTTTCGTTTTACATTATTAATTATATTTTTCCATAATACAATAAATTCATGGTACAATTTTTCTATAAAAATAAATTCAATTTAATTTCAAGAGATGAATCCACATATACCAAAACGAATTGCACATAATGACTATTACGTCGAATTCACAACCTCAGAATCTATATACGAATTTATTTTTATCGAATTTTAAATGTAAGGAAATTTTATTTTCTGGAATTAACATTTTACCGAAAATGAATATGAGAGAATAATTTATGATCGAATCGACATGTGCTGTAATTATAAATTATCATAATTTCTGTTTGTCTGAATTTTAACATAACCTAATGGAACCGAAATGTAATATAGAGTAAAGGCATTTTCATAGAATTAGTTTTAAGGATAATAATTATATACACGAATAATAAAGAAATCTATTTTCAAATATAAATAATAACTGTTGAAACGAATTTTTTTTTCCAGATTTATAATCTGACATAATTTCTATTTGCACAAAAATATATTAAAATTAACAGAATTTAGAATGGTCGATTTTTCATTGAGCCGAAAGTTGAAATAGTCGAAATTAAATTAAACCGAATTTTATTTTAAAATTGACCAATCAAAATTCTGTTAATTATATTTTTGTGCAAATAGAAATTATGTCAGATTATAAATCTGGAAAAACAAATTCGTTTCAACAGTTATTATTTACATTTGAAAATAGATTTCTTTATTATTCGTGTATATAATTATTAGGCCGCAGTCCCATGGCAGCGTTTTGCGTTGCGTTTTAATGAGAGAGAATGCAGCAAACGTATATTTGCGTCTTTTTCTCTCCCATTACAACGCAACGCAAAACGCTGTCATGGGATTCCACCCTTATCCTCAAAACTAAAGGCCAACGCAGAATAGATCTGTAACCGGAACCGCAATCGTAACCGTAAGCATAAGAATGAGTTAGAGAAGGATAAACAATATACCTATCCTTCTTTAACTCATTCTTACGGTTACGCTTTCGATTGCGGTTCCGGTTACAGATCTATTCTGCGTTGGCCTTTAAGGCCTAAGCACAACTGGTTCGGTTTCGGGATATGTAAAGGTACACTCTCACCTCTACTGCCTGCTTGCCTGCGCAGGCAGGCGCCGTAAGAGTGAGAGAGAAAAAACATTTAAATTGAATTTTCTGACTCTCTTACTCTAATGTGTTACCATGTCAACCTGCAGGCAGGCAGTAGGAGCTGTGCTAGCGCCTTTAGATTTACATATATTTTGAGGTTAGGAAGCCCATATCCCGAAACCGTCTCCCGAAACCGAACCAGTTGTGCTTAGGCCTTAATTCTATAAAAATGCCTTTAAGGCCAACGCACAACTGCTTCGCGAACGTCGTTCGCGAATGTAAAGCATGAGTTAGAAAAGGACACAAATATATCTCTGTCCTTCCATCTTCCATCTTCCTTAAGGTGCTTCTATACCTCCGGTGGATTGGTCAAGCAATCGGCTCGATGAATTTTCACGGTCGGAAAATGTACTTTCATGGCGGGTATTTTTGAATAAGTAAATGTTGAAAAGGTTTTTACTTGAAAATTTATTTAAAAAAATGATTTTATCATAGAAATTCTTTTGAAAGTAATGTTAAAAAACATGTTTTATTTTAAAAGTTATCAAATTTTAATTCAAAATGTTTTAATTTTCCAAAGAAGTGTAAAAAGCCTAATGCTTTTGAAATGCTAGTACAGACGGTACAGACTGTTTGTTATGAATGTACATAACCTAGCGTAGTGTTATCGTGCTTGTGATATTATTATATTCTAAATTTAATGATTTAATTATATTAAATAATAATGAACAGACAACACAACGCTAGGTTATGTACATTCATAACAAACAGTCTGCACCGTCTGTACTAGCATTTCAAAAACATTAGGCTTTTTACACTTCTTTGGAAAATTAAAACATTTTGAATTAAAATTTGATAACTTTTAAAATAAAACATGTTTTTTTAACATTACTTTCAAAAGAATTTCTACCTATGATAAAATCATTTTTTAAAATAAATTTTCAAGTAAAAACCATTTCAACATTTACTTATTCAAAAATACCCGCCATGAAAGTACATTTTCCGACCGTGAAAATTCATCAAGCCGATTGCTTGACCAATCCACCGGAGGTATAGAAGCACCTTTACAAACTTTAATCAGACAAACAGAAATTATGATAATTTATAATTACAGCACATGTCGATTCGATCATAAATTATTCTCTCATATTCATTTTCGGTAAAATGTTAATTCCAGAAAATAAAATTTCCTTAGGCTGCGGTTACACCTCTGCAGGCTGCCTGCCTGCGCAGGCAGGAGCAACGAGAGTAAGGGAGAAGTTTGAAATCAGTGACTCTCTTACTCTTGTACGTTACCATGACAACCTGCAGGCAGGCAGGCTGCCTGCAGAGGTGTAACCGCAGCCTTACATTTAAAATTCGATAAAAATAAATTATTCTGAGGTTGTGAATTCGACGTAATAGTCATTATGTGCAATTCATTTTGGTATATGTATATGGATTCATCTCAATTTCAAAGGGTTGCATACATTTGTATCAGAATGAAAAGAGCAGAATGACTATTATGTCGAATTCACAAACGTAGAATCTGTAACTTTACGAATTTGTTTTTATCGAATACAAAATTTAAGAAAATTATTTTCACGAATTAACATTGACATAATTTTTATTTTCACTAAACAATAATTGATAGAATTTTAAAATAGGTCGATTTCTTATTTAGTCGAAAGTTTAAAAATCCGAAATTTAATTAAACCTAATTTTATTTTGTCGAATGGTGGTTCAATATAATGTGAATATTAACGAAATTTATTATAGCCGAATTTATAACTAACCTAAATGTAACTGAACCGAAAAGTAATATTACATATTCTTTATTCTATAGAAATTAAAAGTGTTCGAATTATCATTTAATCGAATATTTATTATATAGAATTAATTTTAATCGATATTTCGAAATCTCGAAATGCAAATTAATCTAAACTAATTTTTAAGGAAAATACAACTAAGCGAATTTCTAATTATCCGAAAACTAATTTGGTAGAAAATTTTTGTGGGTGAATTTAATTTGAGCCAAAAAGCAAGTAGCCGAAACGTCATCTATTATAATCTTAAAATGGCGAAAAAGCTATTTGTAAGCATGGTTAAATAGTCGAAACGCCATCTATTCGAATTGTCCAGTAGACGATTCGTAATTTAGCCGAATGGAAAAAACGTCGAATGGACAAAACGTCGAATTTTGAAAACATCGAATTGTCAATTCATCGAATTCTCAAAACATTGAATTGTCAATACGTCGAATGTTTAAAACGTCGAATGATAAAAACGTCGAATGCAAAAAACATCGAATCGTCAAAAGTTCGACAAAATTTGTTTGATCTAAGTAAACATTAACTTAAAACAAAGAAATCTTTACTTTTTGGCTCAAATTAAATTCACCCACAAAAATTTTCTACCAAATTAGTTTTCGGATAATTAGAAATTCGCTTAGTTGTATTTTCCTTAAAAATTAGTTTAGATTAATTTGCATTTCGAGATTTCGAAATATCGATTAAAATTAATTCTATATAATAAATATTCGATTAAATGATAATTCGAACACTTTTAATTTCTATAGTTTAAAGAATATGTAATATTACTTTTCGGTTCAGTTACATTTAGGTTAGTTATAAATTCGGCTATAATAAATTTCGTTAATATTCACATTATATTGAACCACCATTCGACAAAATAAAATTAGGTTTAATTAAATTTCGGATTTTTAAACTTTCGACTAAATAAGAAATCGACCTATTTTAAAATTCTATCAATTATTGTTTAGTGAAAATAAAAATTATGTCAATGTTAATTCGTGAAAATAATTTTCTTAAATTTTGTATTCGATAAAAACAAATTCGTAAAGTTACAGATTCTACGTTTGTGAATTCGACATAATAGTCATTCTGCTCTTTTCATTCTGATACAAATGTATGCAACCCATTTCAAATGGTAAATTCTTGTACCTTCCTAACCCTGCTTGGAAATATAAGCATGTTGAAACAATAGGGTTTAAGGAAAGTTTAAGCATCACACTATACCATTATTATTATTATTATTATTAAAAAAAAAATTGAACAATTTCCGTTCATAAAATTCTTATCGGAAAATAAATGAACGATGATTTTCTCATTTGTTATTAATCACTGTAGGATTAATACAATCATTACATTATTTTAAAGAAAAAATTTTTTTTATAAAATGAAAATTTGTTTTATTTCTTTCTAAAACAAAATTGATTAATACTGTCAGATCAAAATTTTTTTTTATTAAATTACGATAATTGAAATATATTAATTTTTTTAAAACTTTCAGAAATACCCAGCGGGCACACTTCTCTTTTTGATAACTTCAAGTTATCGCGTTTTGAGTATAGATGTTAACATTTTAATGCCTTTTAGTTATCGTGTGCCCCTTGGGTAGAGAAGACAAGGTTTTTTATTTTAAATAATTAAACAAATGGTGAATATTAATCAACTTTTTGAAAAAATATTTTTGCAATAAATTTTATACATTTTTATTATAGCTTGATTTAAAAATTATGTACTTGTGATTCCGCGCAATTTAAAATATAATTCGTGGTCCTTCTTTGTACGCATATAAAATGTATTCCGTGGATCTCTGGGAGATAGATAAGAACACTAAAAGAAAGAAAGAAATATTAATAAATTTTTCAAATAAATCAATTGAAAGAAATTATAAAAGTAATATTATTAGAAAAAAACTTGAAAATAACAATACTTGCCCCAACATTATTTCTTAATGCAATAGCATTAGGCATTAGCTCATTCAAGTGTTTTTCTCGATCTCCATGATCAGGATGAGTGGATAATATTGGAGGTATGTCTTTTTCAATTTTTAATTCAGTTAACATTCTCATTATACCCCAAAATACCACTGCTTCCCGGACATCAAAACATGCCTGTTTAAAAATAAATTACTATTATTATTGTCATCTTTTAATATAATTATGTTTTAGAATACAACTTTTCTTGTTAAATTTTAATAAAAATCTAATTTATACGAAAACAATTTTTATTAAAAAGTTGTTTACTTTGGCTGCAAGTATTAATCCAACATCATCAGCTTCAGATTCTAAAGCTCTACTATATGGCAAATGGTGAAAAATATTAATCACCGATGCACCCAAAATTTGAAAAATTGCCGCTACGGCATCTGGAAAAATTGCCCATAAAAGAACAATGGGTAAAGCCAAAAGCATATCTAAAATTACTCCTCTTGATACTTGTTCCATCTAGAAAAAAAAAAACAAATTTAGAAACTGAAAAATAAAAATCATTATTATTTTAAGTATAGTGAAAACTTTTATATTACCGAGTGGTTTAATAATTCGTGAGCCATTTCGTGAGCTAGAATAATCGCAAGCTGATCGTCATTTTCCACCAAATGAAGAGCTCCCAAAAATACAAAAATATGTCCTCCCTAAAAAGCATATATATTAACAAATATTAAACGATAAAAATAAAATTAGAGCAAAATAAAAATTTATTTTATTTCAATAATCTATTTGATTATCATTTATTTTCAGCCAACAGAAAATAGAAAAAAACAATCCTTTGGGAGCATTTATAATTGCCTTTTTTAAATGAAGTAAAAATTTTATTTTCCACGTTAATTCCTGCAGGAATCAATGCGACCAACACTCAACTTGCTGTACAAGTTTAATTTATTTATTAAAAAAGAATATGCTCAGCAAATAGTCCTTTACCGGAAGAACGTACGCATTTTTTAATGCACCATCAACTACTGTAAGACTCCATTGTTTATCTTTTACAGATTGCAAATCCATATTTGCATTTAATAATCGTTTAGTGATCCTGGTAAGCCTCATATAAACTGGATGATTCTCTGGTACAATATGTCCCTTATTCTCTTCTAAATGCTTAAAAAAAAATTAATCATTTATCACCTTAAAATTAATTTTTTAAATATTTTAAATATTAATAATATATAAAATAATAAACTGTACGTACTATTTGTAGAGTTAATTTTGCAAATAATTCTTGTTGTTCTTTGGTGAATATGATAAATCTTGGTCGCTTTGTTATTGGATCAATTTGTAAGTGAGTTACATAATAAAGAAATAGTGCAAATAAAAAAAAGCCAAGGAAACCTGTAATGAAAAATTTGTAATTTTTTAATAATTATTAAAAGAAAAAACAGAATATTTAATTGCAATAGACAAAAAAAATTATTTATTCCAAACATAATGTTTTAGTACCAAAAAAGGCATTTTTCCGACTTTTCAACCAATTTATATAAACTTTTTGTTCTTCTGGTGTTTTCTTCTTCCACCATTTTTTAAATGCTCTTCCAAATACAAATGCTCCAATTTGAACTAGTGGCCGAATTATAATTGCCACAATCGGTGGTATTCTACGAGGTTCAGATGTATGGAATTCATGCCGTTGAAAAATTTCAATTTGACTATAATGCTTCAAAGGAATTCGTTTCAATTGGACTGTTGTTGAATATTGTCTCGTGAAATATTGTTTCGACACAATAAGAAATGAATTTCTTCTTTTATTGATCAAGTTGTTATTGACGGAAGAAATTATTCTCAAAGTATTCAACATATTGAAATCACAAAATATTTTTAGTACCATTAAAATATCGATAATTTTTGTTCAGGCTGGGCAGATAAAATTTACATGTGATTACATTAATCAATTGTGGAAATTAAAAACTTGATCAGGTGTTTCATCTTTCAAATCTTAATGTGCAAAATGTCAATCGGATAAAATCTTACAACATGTATCGATTCTGCAAAATAATTTTTTCTTTTAATAAAAAAAAGTATAATTAAACATTTTACAAGATTGCTATATATAAATTTCTTAAAATAATACATGTTCAACATGTCAGTAATATTTAATTTATTTTTATTAAATTTCATTAATCATTTATAATTAACATTATTATATAGAAGGTATTGTGATTGTCTGATAAAAGACAAGTGGAAATATAACATTGAAACTTGAAAAAATGCAAGTATAAATAAAAATAATAAAAGAAATTAAATAATGAAACAAAATAATAACCTATAAAACTTGGAGGTATATTAAATTTTCATAATTAAACAGGTATCTTCCAAATGGTTAACACACAATGAATAGACTGTTGGAATATAAAATTATTGTTTGAATTTTTTGTTTCATCTGATTAAATTCTTATTAAAAACAAACTACCAGAACAGCTGTAGTATGCTTCTCACAAATGTTTTGTAATGTTATGACATTAAGGTGCTTACACATCTTTAGAACATCAATTATAAGATTAAGTCCACAATATTGTTAATATTTCTTAAGGTGCTTCTATACCTCCGGTGGATTGTACGGAAGCGCCTATGCGCCACGAGGCAAAGAGAGGAAACCTGTTTCTGCTAATGTCGTTTTAGCTTGTGAAACATAGGAACACGTTCGATGGTTCGCTGGTTCGGTGGTTCGATGATGTGATTGTTACTAAATAAAAAATTTAAAATAATAAATAAAAATGAACCAAATTAATTGAAATTGACAATTTTAATGTAATAAAATATTTTTTAGGTATTATTTATAACAGATATTAGTTACGAGGTAAATTAGGTGCTTTTAAAAATCATAAATTTTGAGGTTATAAAATGTTATCACATTTAAGGCCTAATGTTGACATTTTTCCATTACTTTTTCATAACACACTTTATAACCTCAAAATTTATGATTTTTAAAAGCACCTAATTTACCTCGTAATTAATATCTGTTATAAATAATACCTTAGAAATATTTTATTACATCAAAATTGTCAATTTCAATTAATTTGGTTCATTTTTATTTTTCATTTTAAATTTTTTATTTAGTAACAATCACATCATCGAACCACCGAACCAGCGAACCATCGAACGTGTTCCTATGTTTCACAAGCTAAAACGACATTAGCAGATACAGGTCTCCTCTCTTTGCCTCGTGGCGCGTAGGCGCTTCCGTAATAGAAGCACCTTTAGGGTGCGATCCCGTGAGCAGAATACGTCGACCGAAAGCAGAAAATGATGAGAGTGAAAAGAACAACAATATCTACCCATCTCTTTTGCACTCGTGATTTTCTGCTTTCGGTCGACGTATTGGGATCCGAAATCATGTGAAACTGACCCACCCCTGTACCCACTTGCGTCCGACATCTTGGTTTTTTATCTCTTTTTTTTACATATGTTAGAGAGAGACGAAATGAAAAGACAACTACCGCAAGTGGGTCGACCATAGAGGTATAAGAATAGAGTGCGCAACAGGTTTGAAAGTGTGACATCTCGGTAGAAGGAGAGATCACTGTTCTCTTGTCCCCTGTTCTATCCTTGTCTACGTGCAAACTTTATGGAGACAAGGAAAGAAAAGGGACGAGAGACAACTACTTATCTCTTTCTATCGAGGTGGCTCCACTTCGCATGGGAAATACATGGACTAGCGCGCTCTATTCTTATATCTCTATGGGGTCGACACCAGAGGGCCTACGCAGCTCTGCGGTTCCCAATTCTGCTCACATAGAATCGCACCCTAAGAATGAGTTAAAGAAGGATAGGTATATTGTTTATCCTTTTCTAACTCATTCTTACGCTTACGGTTAGGGTGCGATCCCATGAATGCAGAATACGTCGACCGAAAACAGAAAATCATGAGTGCGAAAGAGATAGATAGATATTGTTCTTTTCACTCTCATGATTTTCTGCTTTCGGTCGACCTATTCTGCATTCATGGGATCGCACCCTTACGATTGGTAAGGTTCCGGTTAGGGAGCATTTACACCTTTGGTAAACATTTCCCGTTCTGGAAATTTTTAATTGGAGTAAGAGAGACAGACTGTGTATCTGACTCTCTTACTCCAATGCAAATTTTCCTTTCTGGACAATTTTTACAGAAGGTGTAAACATTTAATTAAAATTTTCCGACTCTCTTACTCTTATGGGTTGTTATTACATACCATGACAACCTGCAGGCAGTAGAGCTGTGTAAACGTCTTAACACGTGACGAAACCTTGAGGGTACGTTCACACGACTTTTGGAAAAACAGCTCTTGTCTTTCTCTCTTCTATGATAGAAGCATAAGTTTGTCTCATGGAGCGTTTACACCTTTTGTAAAAATTTTCCGTTCTGGAAATTTTTACCGAAGGTGTAAATGCTCCCTCACTCCATATTTTCTGTTTTTGGAAAAAGTAAGAAAATGTAGAGTGAGACAAACTTTATGCCTCTGTTATATAGGAGAGAGAGAGAAAGACAAGAATGGTTTTTCCAAAAGTCGTGTGAACGTTCCCTCAGTTCGAAGTAGAGTAAGGGTGCAGTCACAAATGTGAACCAAAAGCGTTAAAATCGTATACTGAAGAATGAGTTGGAGAAGGATAGGTATATTTTTTATCCTTGTTCAACTCATTCTCCTTGTTGGCGTAAAAGGTCACTGTCTCGCTCACTCACATTATACTTGAACGACAACGCTTGAACGCTTTGACGTTTTTACACGCTTATTACATGGGACGGAGAAGCTTTAAGCTTTATTTTATTATTATTTATTTATTATCTAGGCCTTCTCATTTCTCAACAAATTAATTAATACGGTCAAACAAAAATTACAAACTTTAAGCTTTATATTTACTTTCTTGAAACAGTTTTTACTTTTTAATTTATTCATTAATGTTTTCGGTAATCCGAAATGAAAAATAATTGTCACCTTTTTTCCAATTTCTTAAAAATTTGACTTTTTTTTAAAAATTGCAAATTCTATCCAATTTTTTTTTTTTTTGGGAATTGTGCAAGCAAATTTTGGCTATACGAGTATTTAAACAAATGTGTTTTTTTTTAAACTGTTCTCCGTGTTGAATTTTAGTATTTGAAACTGTGACGAAAAATTAACAACATTTTTCTATATAATTGCTTGAAAAATCTACTTTTCATTTCTTAATTACAAATTTTAACCGATTTAAAAGCAATTTTGCAAGCAAGTTTTAATTTACGGTGCTAATACGCAGCTGCGTATTTATAATTCAGTTATTTTTAATTTATAAACGAAATGCAGAATGTGAGAAATTTCTCGTACAAGAATAATAAAAACATATAACATGAATAAGATGAAAAAATTTAAAATGGCTAAAACTTTAGAAAATGAGTAATTTTGCTTCGCAAAGAAATTTGATGTAAATGAATAATTTTTGTTAAAAAAGTAGTCACTTGCAAGATTTTCTATACTTGATGTTTAAACTTTTATCAAGTATGTTTAAAAAATTTTAATTAAATAAATATTTTATACTTGATAAAAGTTTAAACAAGTAGAAATTCTTTCAAGTGACTATATTTCTTTTTAACAAAAATTCATTTACATATTCTTTTAAGCAAAATTACTTATTTTCTAAAGATTCAACCGCATTTTAAATTTTTTCAACATTATGTTTTTACTATATTCTTTTACGAGAAAATTCTCACATTCTGCAATTCGGTAATAAATTAAAAATATAACTGTGACTTTGGGATTAATTTCAATTTAATAATAATTTACTCAAATTGAAATTAAAATAATTGCTGTTCAGACATATTAATAATCTCCCGCAGTTCATGCTTTGGTTGAAAATAATACACTGAGAAAAATGAGTTTGCTATTATAAGGATAGCGAATGTTTAGCTATTACAGCTTATAATTAGCTGTTTTAGCAAAAAAAGTTGGCTAATTATTAGCAGCGTTAGCTAACAATAATTGCTATCCATACACGGAAAGAAAAAGTCCGTCAATCATTAATAGACTAGTATATTACTTTGAGACGGGACACAAAATCATTGAATGCATAACATACTTTGAGTCACAATCAGTGACGAGTTGCTTGCTAAAATTTAGAAAACTGTCATCAATATATAAAACTCGTTCACTAAAATTTAGAAAACTGTCTATTAAATTTTCTATGACTATCAAAAGCATTCAAAAAATTCAACTTCTTTCAGAATTATCCCTAATTTTAGACACTATTTGGTACAGAATGAACACATTTTTTTCGTTGCACAGTTCCGATATTTTATTTACACTCTTAGACGCTTTAGACCAACACATTTTCGCACTTATAATAACTACACGTAGAAACGCACACTTATAACATTTTAAGTTTAGAAGCGAACTGTTCTTATATACCAAATAACAAAATTTTTCACAACTTGTGAGAAATGATTTTGCACTAATAACTACTTTTTAATTAGCGAGAAATATAAAAGAAAATATATTTTTATCGAGGTCAATTTCTAGACGCAATTCAACTGCAAATTATTAGTTAAGTTAAATATTCACATTACACATAATAGTATATAGGGATATGTATAGCAGACAGCAAAAACACATGGACTATAGAGAAACCGGAAGAAATGCGCATCGGTACACTGCGCAACAATGCGCTAGTGAAGAGCGCCGATTTAGAATACGAGTCAACTAACGTTTCACAAACTTTCACTAATGATTCGTAAACATTCAAACAGCCATTGATAACAATTCAGCATTAAATCTAAAACAATTGGTCACATACTGGCATTCTAATCAATCCATGACTCGTTTTCAATCGTTAAGGGCATTTGAACCTTGATGACGTCACACATGCTTTGCACAATCTGTAACGTCATCAAGGTTCAAATGCCCTTAAGTAAAGTTAAGTAACCATCAACGGAAAAAGAGTCCCGTCTCAAAGTAATATACTAATCCATTAATGGTTGACGGACTTTTTCTTTCCGTGTATAATAGCATTTAAGGTTAGCTAAGGTAGCTAAAAATTAGCTAAAATAGCTAACCATTTTTCTCCATAATATTGTTATTATTATTAATAAGAACGCCTCATTTAATTGCTTTCAAATGTGTTTTCCATGCATTCTAAAAACAAACACCTGTTGAATATTTTTTAAACAGGTTAAAAATAATTCTCAACATTTAATAATTTACTATATACATTTCAAAGGCGATTTATCGTTTTATGTTCCAGTGACATGCCCTTATGTGTTTCCATTTTTCGAATCGCTCAAAAGAGAGAGAGAGAGAGATACGCTTGGGAATGTTATTGGCCCGCCTTGGGTCCGCCTCTCCTTACAACGCCATTACATGAATTCATCCCCACTCCTTCCATACCACTCACTCGGCAATAGACCCGCGGTGAGAGAGAAAGAGAGTTTGCAGGTTCAGTCTTGTTTTAGCCGCGCTCGTAAATGGTCGCGTAAACGCGTTTTAAATATTCTCTTGAAAAGAATATAATGTACAAAAGTATCGTTTTTTAAAA